TGTGTGCGTGTGCGTGTGTGCGTGTGTGTGTGTGTGTGTGTGTATGGGTGTGGGTGTGCATGTGCGTGTGCTTGTGCGTGTGCGTGTGCGTGTGCGTGTGCGTGTGCGTGTGCGTGTGCTTGTTTTACAGGCCACCCATTGCGGGATCTCTACCAGTGACCCACCGAATGCTGCCGCAGCTTCCCCTCAGTGTTTTGGCATGCTGAGGTACTGTGTCTACCAATTTCCCTGGCGACCTTGGCTACGCACTCCTGACCTTCCCTCAGTCCGCCCGTTGGACATTGGAGAGGAGACAAGTTTGTTTGACCGAGGAAGGCCGTTTCCCCGGATGCAGCCTCACCGGCTGGGCCCGCAAAAGGTACACGGGGCTGCTGATGATTCCCCACCTTTTTGCTATTTCAGGCACGCGGGAACCCTACCGCAAGGCCACGGGGGCACGGCCCTTGGATAGAAAGTGGAGCGAGTAGACTGCCACACCTCCAAAATCCACGAAGGTCCTGGCTCCGTGGGTACCCTCTCCAACAGGACCTGTTCTCAAAGCGAGCGAGAGATGAAGAGAGAGAGAGAGAGAGAGTGAGAGCGAGCGAAAGAGAGGCAAGAGTCTTGAAGTCTTCCTCCACGTTTTGGCTTGATGTTTTTTGCTCTTGCATGTCCTGCTAGGTATTCAAGAGTTGGAGCGGCAGCAGATCAATGACTGGTTGTCGGAATGGCTGGTGGAGTCGGAGGCTGCGTCGGCATGGCAATCGGGCCCTGTGACACTGTGGTCACTGTTGCACACGGCCAGGCGGCATCGGCAGCGCGGGAGGTGGGCCCGGTGCTAGTGCTCGCAAGCTCAAAAAAGTGCATGCAAAGTGTTCGTGGTGGCCGTTGGAACCTGGATATGTGTCGGCAGGAACTGCGGCAGCTGAGGTGGTATGCGCAGGACCGGCGTGTCCAAGAGGAATGATGTGGCCGAAAAGCGGAGGCGAACCTTTGGAGCGCCCTTTGACAAGCGCTCTCTCCAACGACAGGAGCTGCAGCACGCGGTCCTGCGGGAGATGGCCCTGGCAGCCCGGGGCCTCAACGAAGCGCTCCCCCAAAACCTGCCCAAATCAGATCAGAGAGATAGAGAGAGAGAGAAGAGAGAGAAGAGAGAGAAGAGAGAGAAGAGAGAGAAGAGAGAAAAGAGAGAGAAGAGAGAGAGGAGAGAGAGGAGAGAGAGAGAGGAGACAAGGGAGAGGAGAGAGAGAAGAGAGAGAGAAGAGAGAGAGAAGAGAGAGAGAAGAGAGAGAGAAGAGAGAGAGAAGAGAGAGAGAAGAGAGAGAGAAGAGAGGGAGAAGAGAGAGAGAAGAGAAGAAAAGCAAAGAGAAAGGAGAGAAAAAGGAGCGCGTCAAAAAAATCGCGGGGAGGTTCTGGAGCGACGCAGCTTCCAGGCGCCGTCAGGGACACCCCGGGAAGCCAAGCCGACCCCTCAGGAACTCGCTTGTCCGGGTCTCATCTTCTCTGGCGCTCTCTCTCTCTCTCTCTCGGCCTCTCTCTCTCTCTCTCTCCCTCTCTCTCCCCCTCTCGCTCCTTCGCTCCCTCCCCCTCTCTCTCTCTCTCTCGCTCTCTTTCGCTCTCTCTCGCTCTCTCTCGCCCTCTCTTTCTCTCTTTGTCTCCTGCTCATGTTTTTTTTTCTCTCTCACACACAGACATTCTTTCTCCTCTCTCCAAGGTTTTTCTTCTGCATTCCTTCACGGCTAGGAGGGGCGAGCAGCGCCTCGAGGAGTTGGCGGAGCGGCCCTGGCAGCAGCAGGCTGAATGGGAGCTCATTCAGACTGCTCTCTCTGACTGCTCTCTCTGACTGCTCTCTCTCTCTCTCTTGGTGGCCTCTTTTCTTCTGTCGTTGTCATGTGCGCAACATCGCAGGAAGCCCTGCGTGAGATGTTTGCTGTCCTGTCAGGTTGATGGACTTGGCTCGCACGAGATTCTCGCGTTTCTCGTGTGGAGATGGGGCAGCTGGAACCACAAGAGTTGGGAGTTCATTGGGAGTTCAGCCGAGGTTCCTGCACGAGGACCTCCTGGACTCCGACGACATGCCCTTTTATGATGAGGCACCAGCAGTGGCAAACGCAATGGAGTCAGAGTGTGCAGAGTGTGCAGAGTGTGCAGAGTGTGCAGAGTGTGCAGAGTGCAGAGTGCAGGAATTGGTGCCTGACTTCCTGGATGCAGCCTTTGGAGTCATCCGCTTTCATGTGAGCAACCCAGACTCAGACATCTCACATCTCTAGAACACTAGACTGAGCAAGCCGTCACTCGGAGTCCTATCGCTGTCCTGCGCCTCAGGTACGTGGCCCTGGGGAGAACCCCAACCCAGGAGCGTCAGCAGCTCAGAACATCTGACAGTCAGACCGACCCCGCTAGCAGATGCCAGGAGTTGCTAACAGCATCTCTGCACGTGCTTGCCGAAGACACGCGCACAGTGAGCGGAAAACCCTTCACAACAACTGGGGCAAAGAGGCGATGAGGCGGAACCACGACGAGACAGGGGAGCCTTTCGTAGTACCGCCGGAGTCTCTCTTTCACTCTTTCACTCTGTACTGGGTGACAGGTGACAGCAGAGCAAGAATCACCCGGAGGTATTTTAAGCTCGAGCCCCTGCTGGGGGCTTCCCCCCAACATCCTCGGAGGGTCCAGGCATTGCGAGAAGAGCAGAGAAAAAAAGTTCTGGAATGGAAGTAATGATCAAGAAGGAGCACAATAGTCAGCATTTACAATGCGAATCAAGTCTTCTCGTTTCTCTGGAGAGGACACCCGCTCGGCGGTGCTGTGCTGCACCGTCTGCACCTCTGAGGCCGCCAGAGATCCCACGTCGGCCCCCAATCCGTGTCAGCGAGGGCCTGGCCCGGGCCCAAAGGAAGACAGGGAGAAGGGAGCAAGCGAGGGAAAGGAGATTCAAAATGCATCGCCAGTCACCTCGCCGTCCTCCTCCACTGCGAGTTCAGCACAGTGTGCGGCGCCTTCAGGTGCTGACCTCATGCCAGGAGTCAAGACCTTGTCACGTCCAAGAGTTGTTTTGTTCTCGTGAGATCTCGTGAGGTTCGGGAGAGCCTAGTGACAGTTTACCTGCCGTTGAAACACCTGGAGATGATGGCGCGCTGGCTGCCCCCTTTTGGCTTCGCAGTTCAGGCTGAGAACGTGGCACTGCCCGTGGCGGAACGCTGGCTGCCCTTGTTCCCGAGCTTTGGTAGCTGCGCCAAGTGCCGCGGCTGCCCGGCTGCGCAGAGCACGTCCAACGTGCCAGAGATGCCTGCCTGGGCCTTGCAGCTGGACTCGGTGGACCGGCTTCTTGGCGTGCTGGCCGTGGCGTTGTTGCACCCAGCCGGTGCTTCCGGTGCTTCCGGTGCTTCCGGTGCTTCCGGTGCTTTGGGTGCCTTGGCTCTGCTGCTCTGGCCGCTGGTCTCCGTGCTCCTTCGCCTTCGATGTGCAAGCGGAAGTTCTGGAAGCGCAGTTTTCTTTCCAGCGTCCTTTGCCCAGGAAGTCACGGGCGGCCGACGAGAGCCACATGTTCTTCCTGCCCTTCCCTGGGGCGATTACACGAATTACACGATGCCTTGGCTTCAGCTGGTCTTGGGTTTGGGCCTCTTCCTACGCTGCGAGACAGAGACAAGACGCCTTCACAGCTTTGCTTCCTTTGCTTCAGTGATGGACGTCTTCTGTAGTCTATTTGTTCTTTGGCGTGGCCTCCTCAGATGTTTGGCGGCCTTACGGTTACTTTTCTGGCACATTTCTTCCAGGAGGTCACTGAGTCGTGGGTGGTTGGGGCTTTATCTCCGCCGCGAGTGGCAGCAACAGCCAAGCCTCATCGTCCTGGGGACACCAAACACCTTTCAAGATTATCCTTATCCTGATTTTGGGATTGTCCAGGCAGTTGACAGAGCCCTCGACAGACACGAAGCACCGCCCTTGTTGCTGGTCGTCCGGCTGCTGGGCTTGCAATTATCCGCCCTGCAAAGCCCGGAAGTCGGTGGTGGTGGCAACGGCAGCCAAGAAGGCCCCAACACAAACCAGCGACGCGTGGCTGGGCTGCGAAAGCTCCTGGTACTCTTTGAGCCGTGCCCGCCCGGGCTCACCGATGTGCGGCCCAACGAAGAGGCGCAGCCAAAGGTCCGCCTGTCTGAGAGGTACAAGAGCAGCAAGGACAGCATGCGGGATGTCATTCCTGTGGCCATTACCCGGGCACAGCTCGTCGGTGCAGAGGAACTTCCCCAGCTGGTTGCTACACTCCAGGTGGTCAACCACCTTGGCCGACCCTGGTCTTGCTCTCAGCATGATTCCTTCTTCTCTCTTTTCCTGCCATGGGGCTTGGACTCTCGTAAGCCCGCGGCCACAAGTCAACCCTCACCGCCGAATGTTGTGGATGCTCGCAAGGCTGAACCTCGTCAGTGGAAGTACTGGAGGAATGAAACGCTTGAAAGCACGAAGCTGGTGGGCACCTGGCAATCCCAAGTTCTTTCCTGGTTGGACCAAGAGCTTGCAGCTGGAAGCCTCGTGGGGCACGGGATTCTGGACCTTCTGTTTTTTGCCCGCAATCCAGATCGTGGGGCCTTCAAAGAAGAGGTAGATAAGCTTCTGGTGCCTGGCATCTTCTCCGATGATTGCTTGGGGACCAAGCGCTTTTGTGACTCGCGATGCTTCAGAGAAGGCCGGGTGTTGCACTATATCATCGCATCTTCTGACTTGAAGCCTGGGCGCCGTGCCTGGCGCCCGGATCCTCTTGGAGCTCACGCCGCCAGCCTTTTCCTTTCATCGAATTCCTCCAGCTATTCCAGCGTCTCCAGCCCTTCGGGCGACGAGGAAGAGAAAAACTTCTGGAGGCCTTGCTTGCTTCGGCTGAACTCGCGGCAGATAACCTATGTCCTGCGAAAGGCCGATGAAGGATCCCTTGCCTGGTCTGAGCCAGTGTCACGAGATCATGGCGATGCCTTCGAGTACCGTATTCCGTTTGTGTTCCTTGATCGTATTGAGGTCTCCCGTGGGCTACGTGGGCGCGAAGATGACGAATGTTTGCTGACCCTTCATGGCCTGTCGAGTACGCCAACCTCAAGCAATGCCACGCCGTCTCCCCGGATGGAAAACCCAGAGCACCCGGAGGGCGCTTCGGAGGGCCTTTCGGACCCGCAGGCTGTACCAAGCGCGCCAGAGTCTGGCGTGCCCACAAGCGTGCCAAGCGTGCAAAACCCCTTGACCCTGACGCCAGAGCCTCAAACGAGCCCTCACGCAAGCCCTCGAACGAGCCCTCGAACGAGCCCTCGGAGAATGAGCCCTCGAGCGCATCCTCAGCCTCCGGTGCAGCTGCCGCTGGTCTTCCGGGTCAGCAAGAGCGATGGAGAGGTTTGGGCGCAGGTGATTGAGGAGTACGGGATGTTCACACCTCCACTTCACATCCTCCACTACATCGGAGATGTTGCAGATCACCCACGGCTGCCAACGGTTGTCTACCGCCACGGTGAAGGGGACCAGCTCTGGCCCGATGGGACGCGATACCTGGGCCAGTGGCAAAACCACACCTACCATGGCCAAGGCCAGCTGCTGGACCCCGAGCAGTCCCAGCCTCAGTCTCGGACAGTTATCTCAGTTATCACTACTCCGTGCTTGCAAGCGAGGACTTGAAAAGGGGTCTTAGGCTTGGGGTGCCCCTTCGGGTGCTAGGTACTTGGGTCGGGGGGAGCATCCTATCCGGCCCGATTGTCAAGTCTTCGGCAGACGGTTCCCTCACCCGGGAAGCTACCTATGTGGCTCCTTTTGTTTCTTTTGTGTCTGCAGGTAGTCGGGCGGGAAGAGGGCCTTTTTGCTGTTTTCGGCGGGCGGGGCCTGCCGGTTTGGCTCTTGTTTTTCTCCCGTCCTGGGAAGGGGGAAACTCTGGCGCTTTTTTGTGCCTTCCGGAGGGCGGGCCTCGCAGCCAAGAAACTCTGCCGGCGTGGCTCTTGCTTCTATTTGGTGTCTTTCGGCGTGCCCCGCAGCTGGGAAGTGGTGTGGCTCGTGTTTGCTTCCGGCAGGTGGTCCTTGCAAGCGGGAAACTCTGGCCTCTTCTCGGGGCTTCCGGCTGCTGCAGGGAAGCAGTGGCCATTGTTTGTGGCGGGCCCCGTAGCTCGGCGCGGCTTGTGTGTTTTCCCATCCTCTTGAAGTCTCCTGCCTGGCCTGGCCCTGGAATGCCTGGAATGCCCACCAGAGAAGCTGAGAGAGTCCCTTGGATTTTTGTAGATCGGCAGTAGCCATGGAAACCCGCGAGAAGCAGTCTCTGTAAAATTGAGTTCTCTCTTTGTTAAATAGGAAGCAGAGAGTCGAACCGCAGAGAGCCCCGCCGAGCATCCTTGGAGTGTTCAGAAGGGCCGAGGATTCAGAAGGTGTCGCCGAGTGTGGACTTGGGTACCACTGCTCTTGCTTCTTGCGTCATCTTGCGTCATCTTGCGTCCTGTCAGGCAGGTTATCTACAAGGGCCAGTGGGTCCAAGGCATGAAGCACGGCCCAGGGCCTCAGTGCTCAGTTCTGGCATTCGGCAAAACTTGCATTTAGTAAATTTAGCCTGCCGCAGAGGCGAAGGCTTCTACCACTTTCTCCAGGAGCATTCCGTCCCATCAGCGAACGAAGGCCCTAACCTCCGACAGCCTATTCAGAGCACGAAGTGGTTTGCGGAAGGTCCTGCACACACTGAGATGATCTCTTTGGCCTACAGCGGCCGCTTCCACCGTGAGGACAGCACTTGCTTGCTTTCTGCATACAGATGAAAGTACTGGTGCAGGGACCGAGAGCGTTCGTTGCCCTGTGACATCGGCCTCGCATGTGGTTCGCATGTGCATATGTGTGTGTGTGTGGTGTGTGTGTGTGTGTGTGTGTGTGTGTGTGTGTGTGTGTGTGTGTGTGTGTGTGTGTGTGTGTGTGTGTGTGTGTGTGTGTGTGTGTGTGTGTCAGTGTGTGTGCAACGCTGCGTGCCAGAGCTCAAAGGAGTTTTCTGGTCACGGAATTCTTTGGGTTGTGGAAGAGGCCGGACAGCTCACTTGCACCCATAGGCAGCAGGCTTGCCGGCAAGTCAGGACGGTAGCCTGGAATGGGTCAAGAAGCACCGACCTTGGGCGAAGTCCTCAGTTGATTGGTGCCCAGTGAGTAGATCTGGTAGTTCTGGTATCCTTCCTCGCAGGCAATTACTCGCTATGAAGGCCAGTTCTCCGGTGGGTCCAGCTACCTCCTGAGATGGGAGAATTGAATCCAACCAAGTCAAGGGTGCAGAGTTTGTGAGTATCGGAGTAACATCTCCATGACACGACTCCAGATGGCGCTGAAAGGCGATGTTCGTGAACCTCGGAGCTTGATATTGGTGGACGAAAGGGACCGCGTGGCACTGCAAGAGCATTTCCCACTGCCAGAGACTCAGCTGGAACAGCTGTTGGGCACTGCAGCATATTACGCAGCTGAAGGCTTCCGAATGAATCCGGCGTGGGGTCGATGGCTGAGAGTTGCTGCGATCTGCACGGAGACAATTCCAAGCACTTGGTGTTTCAGGCCTCATCAAGGACCTGGAAAAGCTCCCAAAGACTTGGCAGTTTGGACCTGAGTTGATTCAATCTTCAAGGGAGAAAGCCCGCATGACCTGCCGACCTTGAGGCCGAGATGTACGGTCTGGCCGGGTGCTTTTTGCACTTTGGTGCTTTGCTTTGAGATGGAGCTTGCCATGGCTCGCGATGGTTTGGGAATGGGAATGTTTGGGAGGATGCGGCGGACCTCCAACATTGTGGGCCTGACCAGGACTCTGAGGTCGTGGTGGGACTGGTGACCGCCGTACACCAGCACTGAAGTCACTGGAAGCAAAGCAGATGCCAGGTTTGGTATGCTGACGGCACGCGCTACCACGGGCCCTGCCTGGCGGGTGCCGGGCGCTGATGAGGGAGGAGCTGGGAAGGGTGCTCTCTGAGAAATGAAATGAGAAAACATTGAAAGAATGACTAAGCCGCATGACAACTTTGACACTTTGGCTGTCGGATCGTCATCCGTCACTTCGTCCCTTCCTGGCCGTACAGATTTTCCCCTTTGTTTCCGCCCTTTCCCCTTTTCTCCTGATTTTTCGTTGCTCTTTGAGATTCTTCGAGGCCGTGCCGCACGGCGATGGCGGAACGCTCTGGGAGGAGGCGGAAATATGGAGAGAGAGAGAGAGAGAGAGAGAGAGAGAAAGAGAGAAAGAGATAGAGAGAGAGAGAGAGAGAGAGAGAGAAAGAGTAGCCTTTACTGAGGGGCTTTTGTGGTGTAGGGGAACAGGCGCCTGGTCGTCTCACCGGCAGGGGAAGCAAGTGACCGAGACGAGTGAATTCCTCCTGGATATGATGAACGGGTGGGCTTAGGGGGCCTTTCGTGGGGGAATTCCAGTCTGGTCGTAGGCTTATGCCGTGAGGTCTCACTGAGACTGGACTTGATCTAGGCGCGCCCAGCGCGCGGGGGGGGGCCCCCTGGGCTCCTCAAGCCCCGTAGAAGAAGCAGAAGAGAGAGAGAGAGAGAGAGAGAGCTGAGACCTTGGACATCGCGCGCCCCTAGGGGCGGCCTCTCCTTCGGGGGGGGCCATGCGTGCAGGAGAGAGAGAGAGAGAGAGAGAGAGCTGAGAGAGAGAGAGAGAGCTGAGAGAGAGAGCTGAGAGCGCTCTGCGTTCACTTCGTGCAATGTCTTTCGAGGCGGGGCTCTGCTTCGAGGGCCGCTTCCACCATGGCCTCCGCGCGCCAAACGGCCGGGCCTCGCTGCCGAACGGCCGCTCGGAAGAGAAAGAGGTTCAAAAGAAGGCTGTGAGAGAACCCAGAAGGGAGAGAAGTTGGACTAGATAGAAGCAGAGCATACACACTTTGATGTTCAGTTTTGTTTGACAAAGGGGTGGTCTATGAGGGGGAGTTCTCCCAGCCAGGAGGGCGGCCGTGGCCCCAGACTGGGTCGCATCGACTTCTGCCTTTTCACCTTGGAGTTGATGGCTTCTGTGGTGCGAGCTCTGCACAGCAGCTGTGAATTTGGTTCTCCAAGCAATTCAAGCTTCTTTGGCACTCTCGAGAAGGAGCACTCTGTAGTACCCATTGTGCCCTTCCGAAAGCACGCGAGTTATTTGATTATTTGAGTCATCTTTCTTTATTTGCTCTGTGTAGGGAAGAGAGCCGACGGGCAGTTCCACAGCTCATGTCGTGCCTGCCGCCCCAACAGTTCTTCTTACCCGAGATCTTCGAGTTCAGGGCGTGGAGGCACGGGTCGAGAGGCGACGGATTGAGATGGACAGCACGACCATGACCGAAGAACGTGAAGAACGTGTCAGGTCCCTGGGCTCGATGAAGAACCACCTTGAAGTGCAGGGTGTGGGTGTTGGTGCTGCTGGCCGGCTGCTTTCCGCTTGTGCAGGCCGAGTCTTTTGCTTGTGTCTCACTCATGTCTTGCACAAGTCGCAACAGCATCAGGCTCTGTGGTCCATCCCTCAGAGAGTTCAACGAGTTCAGAGGGGCAGGGCCATGTGGGGAAGGGCTTTGTCGCACCTCCGATTAAGGCCGTCGGGCTGATCGTCACTCCCCTGGACGTGGCCAAGGCAGAGATGGAGAAACCATGAGAGATTTGTTCGACGAATCCGGGGCGGTGTTTTTGTAGGAGAGCAGCTCATGTAGGGGGACTCCGGGACTCTTCTGATACTCTTCTGTCCTCTTCCCAGGTGCGGATGCAGGCCCAGGCTTCGAATGCTTCGCATGCTTCGCATGCCTCGTGCCGCTTCTTCGTCTGTGGGAATGGCATTACAGACCACACCTTTGACAAGCAGTGTGAGATGTGGCAGCACGTCTTTAAGAAAGGAGGTGGCCGTGGTGGCCCCGGTATGCTGAGAACACTGCGAAGTATCTACAGGGAGACGGGGATGAAAGGGCTCTACGCTGGGCTTCCCGTCACGATGGTCATCGCGGTCCCCGCGAACGTCCTGTATTTTGCCACTTACGAGGCCATGCGGGACTGGCTCCTTCTGCACCACCCTGGTGGTTGTGGTGTTGCCGGCGCATGCGGTCCAGGACTCCTCTATTCTTTGCTCTTTGTTCGGCATGTTCTCAAAGCATCATTTCCAGGAATTGTGGCTCCTCTGATCGCCGGCGGATTTGGTCGTGCCGTAGCCGTCAGTGCATGTGCTCCCCTGGAGGTGGTCAGAACCCGCATGCAGGACCGTTGTCTGCTGCTCTACTGCCCAAACCCTGCACGCGCCGAGGGAAAAAGAGGGGAACGGTGACGCTCGCCAGGCTGGCAACATGACGGCCCGACCCAGCATTGGAGCAGCCCTCAAGGACCAGCTGTTACCGCAAGAAAATCATCTGCGAAGTGGTGGCACAACTGTGGCACAGGACATCCTGAGAAATGAGGGCCCGCGAGCCTTGTTCCGTGGACTGGAAAGCACCCTCTGGCGGGATGTGCCCTTCAGTGCCTTCTACTGGCTCGGGGTCGAGGCTGTTCGCGACTCGCTGCTGAGAAGGGGTCCAGGCCTTATGTGAGGGCGCAGCGGTAGGAGTAACAAGAAATAGCAAGTATTGAGCTCTAAGCTATTGCGAATGCCGCAGTGGTGCTGACTTGACGCCTCAGTGTCCGCACAAGCGTCCGTTTAACGCCTGAGCCGTTTATTCGCCGTTGGTGACGTCTCGAGCAGGGTTCAACTGAGAAGGTCCGGGTACCTTGCCTTTTTGCTCGTGTGCTTTGCGATTTCAAGGACAAGAATCCGGGTCAGATGCAACCATTGCTTGGACTGAAGCCCGAAAGAACAGTAAAGGTGTTTTGTCAACAGAAAAGAGGGGGCCCCCCCTGTTGGGACCCTTGTGCCCACCAGCAAGCGCAGAATGCACGCAACGGGCACAAGGATACGCGGTGAAACCAATAGCAGCAGACACATCTGCGGTCCCCACATACAGCCGGAAGCAAAGCGTAGCAATTGATGCCTGTTCGGCTGATGCGCATCAAAACGCTGTGAGAATCCAACCCCAAAACTGTTGAGCTGCCACGAAAGCAGCCAGCTCAGGTCAACAAACACAATGTGCTGTCGAGCCGTGGTGTTGGCTACACGGGTGTGAGCACGTGGCTGGGTCAGCGTAGTACACCCTCGCATCAACAGGGCGATTCAAGAATGCCGTGTCCGTGTATTCTCGAGTTCAAAACGCCCCGAACACCTCCGAGTTTTTTCAGAGCCGATTGAGAGACGTTGTCCTCAAAGGGGACTGGGGTGCCTTCGACGCTTTAGAGCGAGAGAGAGAGAGAGAGAGAGAGAGAGAGACTCCGAGGCGCCTGGCGGGACTCGAGCTATCGGAATACCTTGGTGGCCCTGGTCGCCAGCTCCACGGCGGGTGCGGCTGCGGCTTGGGTGACCACGCCCTTTGATGTCGTGAAGACCCGGCGCCAGGTCCAGGCAGCGAGAAGGAGAGTACAGGAGAGGAGAGCTAAAATGAGAGAACAACACTTCTCTTGGAGCCGTCCGAGAACGTGCTTACAATTTTTTCTGAGTATGGTTCGTAAAGAGACTGCTTGCCAATCTGATCTTGGAGTTGCTCGGAGCGCGGAGTCGCGAAGTCGGGTCTGTCGGCGATGCTGCTCGTACGACGTGTGAGATCGTGTGAGATCGTGTGAGTCTTGCAGCGCCTTCGAGGCCCATGCGGGAATCCGGCAAATGGGCCTCTGGCGTGACCTGGTGTCCCTTACCCAAAGGGAAGGCGCGGGGGGGGAGCGCTTGGAGATTCCTTTGTGGGAAGAGAGAGCAGATCCTCGTAGATCACGGTTCGTATCCAGAGTCTGGAGGCATGGTCTTCATGAAGTGTGGCGTTGAAGAGAAGTAGCCGAGATCGTAAACGAGAAGCTTATCGTAGACTTCGTAGACACGTTCACAGCTCGTGCCAGGGGCCTCAGCACTCTTCGTTGGAAGCACTCCTCGTGTGGTGCGGGTAGCGCCCGCCTGCAAGACCCTCAGGGAAAGGGGCGGGAAGGGACGCGTCTACTTGGAGGCTGTCTGCCTGCCTGCCTGCCTCTCTCTCTCTCTCCCTCGCTCTCTCTCTCTCTCTCTCTCTCTCTCTCTCTCTCTCCCTCCCTCCCTCCCTACTCAGATCCCACGCCTCTCAGACAATCAGTCTGACTCTCTCGCCCCCCTTCTCTCCGAGGTAGCATCATGCTGGGGATGCGGCCTCAGCTACAAACGTGTTAGCCAGCCCTGCCTTGCTTTGCCACATGCACGCCCGCTAAGGACCTACGAGCTCACAAAGCAACTGCTAGCCAAGCAGATGTAGAGTTGTGATGAGCTGTTGATGAGTTGCGATCTATGAAGTTTGCAGAGTTCAAAAGTAACTCTGAGCGGCGCTCTGAGACCAGGCAAAGCACATTGGTTTGAAGAGCCGCGTACCTCTGACTGCTACCAACTGTGTTAGCACAGTGGCTCAACATATGTTTTCACTTGTACTAGCACTTGGGGCCTCCACGCGAATTGCATGCACGGGTTGACAGTGGGACATGAAAGTCTTCAGGCAAGGTATCGCCGGGCAGAATCTGTAAGCAATGTTTGCTTAGGGCTCTTTTCGGCTGTTCTCAGCCCCCATCGACTTGCACTGGCTCGCCATCTGGCTTTAATTGCATGGCCAAAGTGCGTCTCGAGCCAGAGACCGAGAGGTTCAGAGGCTTTTCTAGTGCCAAGCCCGCAGGTGCTGAGTGGTTGAACGGACCGGAGCCCATTCAGCTGCGGGCGGCGTGCTTGTCCTCTGCGCCGGTTTTGCTCTCCGCCCCACCAAAAAAGAAGCGAAAAGAAGTTGCAAATATTGCAAATATTGCAACTTGTTTGTTGTGTTTGTTGTTGCCTTGTGTGTTTCCATAGGCGGCACGGCACGGGCACGACGTGGATCCCCGAAGTCTTGCAGCGCCGCCTCGGCACGGGGCACAAGTCGCCTCAAGTTTTTGAGGACCGAAAAAACAATCACAGAATCACAGAGTCTCTGAGGCTTCAGCGTCTATGTGGGTGAGTACCGTGAGGGGCTGCGGCACGGCCAGGGTGAGGCGAGGCGCACAAAGTATCCCAGAATATCCCAGAGTTCCGCAGAGTTGATGCTGGCTTCTCATCGGTGTCAGCATAGACCCTTCAGCACCAAAGTGATTGACGAGCTTGTGAGGGCTTGTCCGCGTGTAGTTGTCTTGCAGCGCAGCTCTCATTCCTGTTCTGAAGCAGGCGCACTTCAAGACGCAGAAACCCTAACTTCTTGAAGTCCTGGCCCTGGCTCGATTCTTGTACCACCATGTACCACCCCAAAAATCCGAAAGGGCAACGCCCAGGGCTGGTCATCCTTTCCCAGCTCGTGCAAGCGCCATGGCGCTGCTGCAGTCGCGACAGCTGCTTTTGCTGCTGCTGTTGCCGCTCAGCCATGGGGCAGAGTCACCCTCAAGGCCAGCGAAGGGATCCAAAGCAAGAAAAGCAAGAAAAGCAAGAAAAGCAGAAGAGAAAGCACGAGGAGTTCTCAGAACGCGGATTGTGTGGCAGGATGCCCGCGCTGCTGGCCGCTGGACCGATGTTAGCCTGGTGTGCGGACCACAACAATCCTTTGTTCGAATCTAACCGAAACCCGAAAGCGGAAACGGGCTCCAATGATTGCCTTTCAGCCAAGCATGCCCGAATCGACTCGTTCATATTCTGCGCTTTTCGTTTCCTGATTTTTTTTGCCCATTGGAGCGTTTGGAGGTTCGCCGGATTCGATTTTTGTTCCCCTTGTCTCTCCCCAGACTCATTAGCATTAGCTATATTAACTATTCCGAGGAGTTTCCGTGTAATTGTAAACGCTTGCGCGCGCCGCCTCGGCAGCCGCGCCGGCTCAGAGCATGCAGTCTGTGCCCGGGGGCGTTCCCGTGGGAAGGGTTGGGGGAGGCACAAAATACGCTTATGGGCAGGAAGCTGACAACAGGAAGGTTTGAGGGGGGGGGCGGGGTTGATTTCCTTGCTTCAAGGCGACGGGCCCGGCGCAGCGAGGCCTTGCAGAGGCGGCCGTGCCCGAGCTAGGCATGCTGCACGAGAAGTTCCGCGGCCTCCCTGACAGTACGGGGCCCAGAATTCCATTCAGAGTTCAATCCCCAGAAGTTGCGCTTGGAAACATTCTCAGCAGCTTTTTCAGCCTTCGACATCGCAAGACGTGGAGACAGAATAGAGAACATGTTCTTTTGCTTTCCGAAATTGAGGGCTCCACTCTGGATTGTCTTTGCCAGCTTGTTTCGCACTTTGCTTCTGGCTTTGCTTTGCGCTTCTTGCTTTGCCGAAAAGCGCTGTTGGTGCGTTTTGTGAGGCTGCGAGGTCCTCCTGCGGGTGAAGGCCAGCAGCGTGAACCCAGCCGACCGGGAGACACCTGGTCCTTTCCCACAGGCCAGGTACTGAGTATTCACTGAGCATTCACAATATTCTTCTTTGCAACATCTCGCAACCGAGTTTCACGAGAGTTTCGCGATTTTGCATTGACGAGTGGGCTTGGTCACACACACACACGCAGACATTCTCTCGGTCGTACAGGTAATGGGCTCGGACATCGCGGCAGTTGTGGAGGCGGTGCAACCAAATTGTACACGCTTGCAGGTCGGAGCGCCTCGGCCAAAATCCTTGCCCTCAAATATTCCATCGCTTCTACTCCAGACAAGTCACCACTCAAGAGCCCCCCTTTCACACCAAAAAGGACCTGGTCTGGGCCGACATCGGAGCAGTGGTTCAAACGCCAGGTGGAAAAGGCAAAGAGACCCTTGGACTGGGAATGGCGAATGCCCCCCCCCCCCCCCCCTTACATGCGCCCATATCTCAAGAGCCTGGCACGAGCCGTGTTGGGCACTGTAGGGGGCGAAGTGCCATGCTGTGCTCTTTCTAGAGGAACGGCGCCTATGCTCCTTTCGCAGCGGGCTTATGCAGAAGCAACACATGGCAAGACTTCCTAGCAACTCGAAGGTGGTCCACGTAGTTTTTTTTTTTGTGGGTTTCTTTTGGCCCTGTCATGTTCCTTGTGCCTTTTCGTGCACCGAGGCCGTGGCTTTGGAGTCTCAGCTCGGCCCGATGCCGAACGTGTCGGTGGGGGAGATGCGCTTGACAGACCCACACCCAACAGAGCGCGAGAGCGCGAGAGCGCGAGAGCGCGAGAGAGAGAGAGAGAGTCCGTCGCACCAACGGACCGTGGACTTCGCGCGCCCCTGGGGGCGGCCTTCTCATTCGAGAGGGGGCCAAGCGTGCAGAGAGAGAGAGAGAGAGAGGCCCAGCGAGGTTCACTCAGAGACCCGGCTAGTCGCCCCCATCTGGGCAGGCCTCTCGAGGGCTACGCGAACAGGAAGGAAGAGGAAGGAACAGGAACACTAGAAGACGATTGGCCCGAAAGCATCGGTTTGCCGTGCGTTGACTCTATGCACTTCACTCTATGCACTCGAACTGTATGCACTTGAAGAACTGTATGCACTTCTATGGTTGCATACTCTGTGCACTGCACTTCTCTGCACTTCAACTGCATGGCATTCACATTCGAATCCCACGATTTGCGAGGTTGTCGACGTTCCGGAATTCGAGTACAACGAAATTGCGAGGGTTTCGACACCCCAGGTTTCGGTTTCGGACATCCCGGAATTCGAGTCCCACGATATTTGCGAGGTTCGGTGGACATCCCGGAATTCGAGTCCCATGATATGTGCAGATTTTCGAGACACCGGAATTGGAGTCCCACGATATTTGCGAGGTTTTCGAGGCCCCGGAATTCGAATCCCACGATATTTGCGAGGTTTTCGAGGAATTCGAGTCCCACGATGTTTGCGAGGTTTTCGAGGCCCCGGAATTCGAGTCCCACGATATTTGCGGGTCCCACGATATTTGCGAGGTTTTCGCGGCTGTCCTAGAAGCGCGCGCCGGCCCATTCAGTATACTACTTTTGTACTAAGAGATGGATTTGGAGAGGGGGGCTCTCCCAAAAGCCCGCGCCGGCCCTATTCAGTTCTACTTTTAGTACTACAGAGCAGGATTGTTGAAGCCCAAAAAAGGGCACCGGCCCTGTACAAAGTACTACAGAGGAGGATTGTTAAAGCCCAAAAGAGCGCACCGGCCCTGTACAGTACTACTTTTGTACTACAAAGGACGTTTTAGGTCACAAAAAAAGGGCAAAAACACGAGGGTTTTAGCACCTCTACCACGCGGAAACCCGCAGAGGGGTCGCGTTTGTGTGTCAAAAAACGCAAAAGCACGACGGTTTTGGCACCACGATCACGCCGAAACCCGCAGAGGGGTTACGACCACGCCGAAACGCACCGCGACCATGCCGAAGCCCACAGAGGGTTGCAATCCCGATTGACGACGTCAACCCTGCCCGCCGCCTGAAAGCCGCCTGAAAAAGAGTAAATTTAACTACGAAGGTCTATTAAATTCTATTAAAATCTCATGAATTCCATGAAATTGTACAAAACTCTACTAAAATCTCGTAAATTCTACTCTACTGTACTAAAGTCTCGTGAATTCTACTCCGTGCACTTCACACTTGCACTAGACCCTATGCGCTTCACTCTATGCACTTCACTTTGTGTACTTAACTCTACGCGCTCCACTCTATGCACTTCACTCAATGTTGTTGGGTCAGAGCTCTTCACTCTATGCATGTAACTCTATGCGCTTGACTCTATGCACTTCACTCTATGTTGTTGACTCTATGCACTTCAATCTATGTTGCTGGGTCAGAGGGCTCCGGAAGAACCCTTCGCGATGCTTTCGGGAAAAAAGCGAGGGAAGGAAAGTCAAGGAAAGCGAATGCAATTGAAGGAAAGGGAAGGGGAGGGAAGGGAAGGTAAGAGGAACAGAACCGGAGTGAGTCAGCGAGTCTGTGTGCCTTGTGTCCCCCTGATTGGTGGGGAAAGGCAGGATTCGCTTCGAAGCTGGCGTCTTGTGAATCGTCACTTTGCGCTCACATGGGCTTTTCGCGTGTTGTTCTGTAGGCTTTCTGTGGGCTTTCTTGCAGCTCGCCAGGTTTGGGAAGCGGCGGCGCTGCCCAAGGCGGGACGGCGTCATTCCGTAAATCCGTAGTGGAAGAACTCGCAGCTGTTGCATCCGACTGAGGTGTCACTGACTTCGTACAAGGCGTTGAAATGGTACGGTGGTGCTCCATACGCGCCGAACATGACAGTCTTAGTGCTTGGTGGCAGCGGTGGCTGCGGCAGCACAGGGATACAGCTTGCCAAGGCAAGGTGGGGAGCGTGTGGCAGTTGAATCCAGGGTTTCATCGGTTTCAGCGGAGGGACAGAGCTCCCATCAGCTCTGCACGGCGCTTCTTTTCATGCGCCTGCTTGTGGCTGTTGGGGAAAATGTACAAATCCAGCATTGGATGCAATGATGCCAGCGAAGACCCCAAACAGTAAGATTGTAGAGAAAGGGAAAACGCGTGAAACAACACTGCGACAGGCGGTTAAGGTTATCCTAAACACCAGTGCCGGCCCCTTAATGGGGAGTCAGAACCCAAAGGCATAGACATGATTCATGCATTTCTTGGCCCGAAACAAGGAGCAAGCGCAGAAACATCCTACGTGACGTTTTCAGTCAGAACACTGAAGAAGTTTATGCGTGTGTCGAGTTTGGCAGGCTCAGGGTGCACATGTGTCATTACTTGTGCATTTCACATATGTGGGCCTTTTGGCTCAAGTGGCTTGATCCAAACTGGCCGCTCGAAATTTTGTCGCAGGGAGGAACCCTGCTTCAATTTGACTGTGTTCTTGACGGGAGTGACCCGTCGGTCAGGGAAGAGGCACTTCCCTTGATATGGATGAGGATGCTCATGCAGGCCAGATTGTCTTCACGGGCCATCCGACCCTGACTACAGCCAACTTTCTGGCCTTCCAGCGCTACACGGAGCAGTTGGGTCGGGACCATGAGTGGCAGCGAGTGGCCGAAGTGGCGCACGTGCCCGCGCCCGAGCCATCGATATCAACGGTGGTACTCCGGGGGCGCCTCTTGCCGATCCGGCGCGTGGTTTGCGTGGACGCGACCTGTGCGCGCTGCATTCTGGGGCCATGGTCTAAGAGGGCCATTGTTGTCCACTCGCCTGAGCAAGGGCCAGCAGCCGCTTGGGCAGCTTATGATGCCTGTGGCGACTTTATGTCCCCCACTGCCCCGAGCATTAACACCGTCTTCTATGTCTGGAGGGCATGGCAGCAGGGGAGTCGTCGATGGCGTGATCCCTTGGCCGAACCTGAGCCCCAGCGACAGGCCGGCAGAGAGGACGAGGCCGCCCGTGCACCTGGATTCGCTGGGCCCAACAAGGTACCACGGGGGCGTTGGCTTACTGCTGCGGGCAAGGCGATGTTGGTGCATGGGCCCACCAGTGACCGCATGTGCAGGGACTGCTTCCAGGAACGGGTCTGTCAGTGATTGCAGTCCCGCTCCCGCAGCGATGCGGAGTGAATTCGGGGGACACCGAAGTACACTTAAGGGCTCTGGAGTCTTGCTCGCCTGCCTCCGAGGTCCATCCGGCATCCTCCTCCGCGGGACCTCCCCCTTTGCCGTCGATATTGGGAAGGTGCCTCCCGGCATGTCGCCTTGTCGTGGCGATGGGCGTTGCAGCTAAGTTGTGCCGCTGCGTGTCATGCAGGGGTGTTAGCTTCAAGGTTGTGGCCTCCTTCACACGTTTGGCTCTTGATGCGTTTGTACACCCAAGTGCTGCTCGGCCTTTATACGGTACAAGCCATGTCAGGACAAGGAATCTATGCAGCTCAAGCCATGGAAGACCCGAGCCGGGCATGGCATGCTGAGACAGCCTTGCAGCGGGTAGCTGCGGAGCGAGTGGAGTCATGGCGTGCAAAGATGAGACTCGAGATCGGTTGGGAGGATAGGAGGAGTGCTTTACAGCGATCTAGGCAAGCCAGCAAGGTTCTTTACAGGCAGTGGTGCCCGACATAGCCAAGCAGTGGAAGTGGAGTGGCATTCTCAGCTGCGCTGTGGGGTCGCAGGATCAGGAACTCCTGCATGACATGGTGGGTGGCCAGACTCACAGCAACCCAACTGACGCCCCCAGCAGGGGTCAGCGGCCGGCCTTTCTGAGTGAAGCCCACGAGGACGAAATAAGAGCGGGGTGGTTGAGGTGCCTCGTCGTCAGAGGGGCAGTGCCGTCAGGGCGCCCAGTGAAGAAAATGGGGTGATGAAGGGCGCCGCAGTGGCCCGGTCACTTCAGTCTGACTTAAAGGCGAGATTAGGCGGCTGGCTCCAGACACCGCCTGTGGCACAGCTTCGCAGTTTTGACACGCAGGGCATGATGCCCAGGACCACCCCACTTTCAAGGAAAAGAGATGCTGCAGTGCTTGCGCTCATTCTCTCTCCATCTCCTCAAGTAGAGTTAGTGGACCGTTAAGCCCAGGTTGCGAGCAACATGTTTTACAGCCTCAGCGCCAACCAAGTCAATACAATGGCCAGCAAACCACCCCAGCCTTGACTCAAAAGCTTTGCCAGTTCAAGCCACAGGATACTCAGGCTGAAAGGTAGGCCGCGCTCTCAAAATGGAGTCAACTCATCAGGATAGCTCCGCAGATATTTCAACAGGAGAGCGTCAGCCAAATCCTGCGCGAGATAAACAAGGTCGAGCTTGGGGAACTTAGACCTTTGTTTGCCAAAAAGAGCGCCAACACGCTGCTGAGCCGCGTCAGCAGTCTTGGGCGCTTTGTGGGGTGGCTTATCAAAAGCTTCCCGCGCGATGTGCTCTCTAAAGCTCTGGTATTCCTATCTAACGATAGGCTTGGCAGTGGCGCAGTCTCAGTCTTGGCCAGCCAGAGAGTCCAAGGCTTAGCCCACCAGTGCATGAGACGACAGAACCCGCCCAAGCAAGCTCCGCCCCGGACAACAGATCAACTCAGATGGTTGCAGACCTTGGCTCCGCCGCTCCGCAGCCTGTACACTGTCCTCAGCAACATCAGGGATGGCAAGTTCAGCCCGGATCAGACAAGGTCAGGACGGTGACTTTCAGGTGGAGAGTCGACAAGAGTTTCGGCTAGTTTGCAGGAGCAATCCGCTCAAAAAGAAATCAGTGAAAGCAGTGAGTCCAGCAGCGAAGCTCTTGAAACTCAGTTTGACTCGTCATCAGACCAAGCTGAGCAGTTGCTACATGGCTTAAGCCATGTCTTAGCTTTAGTGGCAGAGTCTTCCAGTTTGACAAATATAAACAGTGGAATTGTGCACATATCGTCCAAAGGTCCACAAGGCGTGCCTTACGTGCCTGTCGGTTGCCGAAGGCATTCTAGACGGACAGTGGGCCTACAGTGCGCCTTAGTTTTTGTGGGGGTGATGAAGGGCGCCGCAGTGGCCCGGTGACTTCAGTCTGATTTAACGCCAGGCGAGATTAGGCGGCTGGGCTGCGCAGCTCGAGACACCGCCTGTGGCATAGCTTCGCAGTTTGACATGCAGGGCATGATGCCCAGGACCACCCCACTTTCAAGGAAAAGAGATGCTGCAGTGCTTGCGCTCATTCTCTCTCCATCTCCTCAGGTAGAGGTAGTGGACGTTAACCCTTAATAGCATGCCCGCCTGCGTATTTAGACGGTTCCAAAAAATGCGCTGGTAACGTCATCGTGGCCCCATAACCCGCCTGCCTTCTAGCGCCCTCGCCGGACGAGCGCGAAGGGACGTGCGACAAACTTGTAGGGCCCTCGCCAAGCCCCAGGGAGGGGACATACGACAAACCTTTGAGGGATATGTTTTTACTTCTTCAGTGTTCTGAAAGTGCAACGTCCGGAAAACCATAGGAAGCACACCCTGACGAGACACGAATACGCTGCCAGCACACAAGGGGTAAACGTCTCTATTTACTTAAACCGCTGTTTCTTAGGGGTACAAACCCGGCTTGGTGAGGTCCCTAGACATTTTTTCGCATGTCCCCTCCCTTCGTGCTCGTAACGTAGGGTAAGGCCCCTATAGAGGTTAAAGCCCAGAACCATAACCTGCTTGAAGGGCCCAGCGTGCGTGGTTTAAAGGTTTCAGAGAGGCGTCTTGGTTGGTCCTTGTGGGCGCGAAAAGACTGAGCGCGTTCAACTAGCATCCTGCTTCTTGGGGACCGTGCGTACTCAGATAGCGCCCAAGCTTTGGGGATCGAGCGTGTTCAGCTAGCATCCTGCTTTTTGGGGACCGAGCGCATTCAAATAGCACACAAATTTTGGGGACCGAGCGAATTCAACTAGCATCCTTTGTTTTGGGGGGGGGCGAGCGTACTCAAAGAGCACCCAAGCCTTGGGATTCAGAAAGCTGGGCAGTATTTGGTCGCAGGGGAACATTTATGGTGTTTTGCATGCTGAAACACGTTTTCAGGTTTAGTGTTCTGCGCCCACAAGCCTGTGCTGATAGCGTCGTTGTGGCCTTCTAGTGGCCTCATAACCCGCCTGCCTTCTAGGGCCCTCGCCCGACGGGCGCGAAGGGACATGCGACAAACTTCTAGCCCTCACCAAGCTCTAGGGAGGGGACGTACGTTGTTTGGCGCATCATGTATAAGTAAATTATGTTGTATAGCGGTATAACGGATCTGGGGCCCAGGGTTTTTTTTGCAAAGGTGTGGCTCGGGCCTGTCCCCTTGCAAAGGTGTGGCTTGGCTTGGCTTGGCTTGTCCCCTTGCAAAGGCGTGGCTTGGCTTTGCTTGGCTCTGCTTGGCCTGGCCTGGCTTGGCTCGGCCTGGCCTGGCCTGGCTCGTCTTCGGCTCGGCTTGGCTCGGCTTGGCTTTTCTCGGTTCGGCTTGGCTCCGCTTGGCTTGGCTCGCCTCGGCTTGCCTCGCTCGGCTGAAGTTGGTTTGCTTGGCACGGCCTTGGCCTGCTTGGCTCGCCTCGGATTGGCTTGGCTCGACTTTGCTCCGTGTTGAACCGCGCTCTTTCGTGCGAAGCTTTCTTCAAAGAACATATTGAAGCAGGGTTTATATTTCTGTTTTTGGTGAGTGTATATAAGGTTCCTTTGTAATATTGGTGAGTGTGTACATCGGGTGTCCTTTTTGGGGTACAAGAAATATAAACCCTACTTCATGTTTTTTTGCGCCGTGTTGAACCCCGGTTTTTTGATGTGCGAAGCTTTCAGAAAAATATGTTTTCGGAAAACCATCATGCGAGCATCGTGTTTGCAAATGAGGGGGTTTAACTCTTATCGTGTTTGCAAAAGGGGGAGGCGGGTTTAAGTGGTACGAACCCATCATGCGAGCATTGTGTTTGCAAGTGGAGGGGGCTGCGCCCCGCCCAACCCCCCCGCCCCCCGGCTGTTTTGAAGGCTGCCACCCATTTTCAGCCGTACGGTCTTTTTTCAAACGCTTGATGCGAGCATTGTGTTTGCAAATGGGGGGGCTGCGCCCCCCCCAACCCCCCGGCGCTTTTTACACGCGCAAATCTTCGAAAGAACATGTTGTCTGAGACTCATCGTCCGAGCATCGTGTTTGCAAACGGGGGAGGGGGTTTTAAGTCGTACGAAGCCATCATGCGAGCATTGTGTTTGCAAGTGGAGGGGGCTGCGCCCCCCCCCCCCCCCCCCCCCCCGGCGGCTGCCACCCATTTTCAGCCGTACGGTCTTTTTTCAAACGCATGATGCGAGCATTGTGGATGCAAATGGGGGGGCTGCGCCCCCGCCAACCCACCCGCTCTTTTTACACGGCACAAAGCTTCGAAAGGACATGTTGTCTGAAACCCATCATGCGAGCATCGTGTTTGCAAACGGGGGCGGGGGGTTTTAAGTCGTACGAGCCCATCATGCGAGCATTGTGTTTGCAAATGGGGGGGGTGCGGCCCCCCCAACCCCCCCCGCTTGTTTAAGGCTGCCACCCATTTTAAGCCGTACAGTCTTTTTCAAACGTATGATGCGATCGTTGTGTTTGCAAATGGGGGGGGGTGCGCCCCCCCCCCCCCCCCCCCCCCCCCCCCCCCCAACCCCCCCGCTCTTTTTACACGGCACAAAGCTTCGAAAGAACATGTTGTCTGAAACCCATCACGCGAGCATCGTGTTTGCAAATGGGGGAGGGGGGTTTTAAGTCGTACGAACCCATCATGCGAGCATTATGTGTTTGCAAATGGGGGGGGCTGCGCCCCCCCCAACCCCCCCGCTTGGTTTAAGGCTGCCACCCATTTTAAGCCGTACAGTCTTTTTTTAAGCACATGATGCGAGTACAGTGTTTGCAAAACCTATTTTAAGCCATACACTCTCTTTCAAACACATGATCGAGCATTTTTGTTTGCAAATGGGGGGGGGGGCTGCGCCCCCCAACCCCCTTTTTTTAGACGCCCAAAGCTTTGAAAGAAAACCCATCGTGCGAGCGTCGCGTTTCTCTGCAAGAAGCTCGGAAATGCTGCTAGTTACAGTACTTGCGACCTCTGAACACGCACAAGTGCTGCTATTTACACTACAGCCTCTGACAACGCAGAAATGTCGCTATTTACAGTATTTGCAGGCTCTCGCAACGCGCAAATGCTGTTATTTACAGTATTTGCAGCCTCTGCAAACGCAGAAATGCTGCAATTTACAGTTTTCGCAGCCCCGAACCAAGAACCAAGGCCGAGCCACACCTTTGCAAGGAAACATGGCCGAGCCACACCTTTGCAAAAAAACAACCCTTCCGCCACGGATCTGACTGGAAAGCATTTCAGGTTTTGCCCAATGTTTAATAGGACTTGACAGGGAACATGATACGGTATGATATGGCCACGTCATCGACATGGACGAGATGAGAAGGTTATATCGCAACGACAAGGACGTGGAGCTATGATACCGATGACAAGAGGACGTCCGATGATATCCGTGTTGCAAGGGCATTACCGTCAACATGTCAGGTCATGTACAGTTTGCCTATAAAGTTGAATGCTTGAGCCGCGCAGCAACCGCAGTGCTTACTTGCTCAAGAGAGCTCTTTTGAGCGTCCGAGTAGACAAGACCGTTTTTCCCCTTTCGCTGTATAGGCCCCGAACCTCGCTTTGCACTCCCTTGATACTGGTAAGCCACAAGGGAAACCTAGGCGCCACGGGAGGAAGGAAGCAAGGAAGACAGGAAGAAAGGCAGGAAGAAAGAAAGAAAGATAGAAAGAAAGAAAGAACGAAAGAAAAAAGATGGCAGGCAACTGTTGCTTGCAAAGGATTCCGCGTTTTTCAGCCGTGCAAGCTGGCTTCATGAATCTCCCTTGCCTTAGCCCTAAACCCGAAACCCTGAATTTGAAGCCCGTCATGCGAACATTGTGTTTGCAAATTGGGAGGGGGGGGCTGCGCCAGCCCAACCCCCGCTTTTTGTAAGCCGCGCAGCTTGCTTGAAGGCGTGCGCGCAATCGTTTTTGGAAACCCATCATGCAATAATCCTTTTGCAAATAACGGAACTGCTAACCTCGGCGCTTCTTTTTTAAGCCGTGCAAGCTTGCTTCAAAGCATATGCATACATTTTTGGAAACCCATCATGCGGGAATCGTGTTTGCAAATGGGAGTGGCTGCGCACCCCCCGCCCCCCGCTTTCAAAGCCGTGTAAGCCTACTTGTTTCCTTTGTATTTATTTGGACAAACTCTATATATCCTTGGTATTCAAATAGGAGAACGTTGATTTCCTTTTCACTTGTTATACGACGACCTCTTTCTTTTTGGATCTTCATAGGAAAACTTCTATTTCCTCTACATTTCAAGAAGGAAACCCTCCATTACCCCCCCCCCCCCCATTGTAATAGGGAACCAAGGGTTAAAACTCAAAAGAACACAAGGGTTAAAAAACTCCTCGTCCGTTTAAAGCGGTTCCAACTGCCTGTGCTGGTAACGTAATCGTGGCCCCATAGCCCGCCTGCACTTTGAAACGGCTATATAACCTCTAGGCCCCACACCCTACGAGAACGAAGGGACAGGCGACAAACTTCTACCTTAGGGCCTTCACCAAACCCCAGCACGAAGGGAGGGGACATACGACAAACCTCTAAGGGATGTGTTTTTGCTTCTTCAGTGTTCTGACTGAAGGTGCAAACGTTAGGAGAACATAGGATGTTTATGCGCTTGTACACCCTATAAGGCCACTGCCAGCACACAAGGGATAAGCATCTCTGTTTATTTCGACCAACCTTTATTTAGGGGCTGTGAAATGATTTGGCAGAGCAAGAAGAGTTGGGTACAAACCCTGCTTGCTCTGCGAAAAGGTTCTATAGTGTTCCTAACGTTTTCACTTTCAGAACACTGTAGAAGTAAGACTGTATCCCTTAAAAGTTTGTCACAGAGGGCTCTAGAAGTTTGTCGCATGTCCCCTCCCTTCGTGCTCGTAGGGTGAGGGCACCTAGAGGTTAGGTCTGAAAACCCTAAAACTTAAAACTAGAACGTGCTTGAAGGGCCCAGCGTGCGAGGTTTAGAGTTACTTTGACGTCTTGGTTGGTCCTTGTGTGTGCGAACAGGCTGAACGTGTTCAACTAGCATCCTGCTTTTTGGGGACTTAAATGGCACCCAAGTTTTGGGGACCGAGCGTGTTTAACTAGCAACCCGCTTTTTGGGGAACAAGCGTACTCAAACAGCACCCAAGTTTTGAAGGGGACCGAGCGTGTTCAACGAGCATCCTGCTTTTTGAGGACCGAGCTTACTCCACCCAACCGCGTGACACCAATCTAGCGTGACACTTTTTTTTTTTCCTGAGGAGTTGACCCTGGGGAAACATGCAAGGTCCTCGCTGCAAGCCGGTCTCTGCATGTTTAGTGTGAGAAGTGTCCAAGTTGTCGAAGTGCAGAGGCGTGGGGCGCTGGGACGCTGATCGCCACGACATCGGCAGAGAATGAGTTGTACGTGCGAGGGCTCGGAGCCGACCGCGTTCTTGATTACAGATCGCAGAACTGGTGGGAGGTGCCTAGGCAGCAGAATTTGGTTGGCTTGAATGTAGCCTTGAGGTGCACAAAGTTCTGAAAGCCGTTCTCAAGACAGCATTCAAGGCTAGACGGCTAGACTATGCTCGACTGCTTGTGTCAACAGAGGTCTTGCCAAAGGGAGCCGTGGATGTTATTTATGACACGGTGGGCGAAGCTGGAACCGGAGACAGGGCTGTGGCCCTGCTGCGCGAAGGTGCCCCCTTTCCGCTGCTGCAGGTAACTCTTACCCAGAAGAGATGCACAAAGTACACCGAAAGCTTCATGTGCCTTTCACTTCTGCTAATTACGCATGTGCAATATCCCTGCTTCGCTGTTGAACTTGAACCCTCCAGTCGGATGATCGCGCGCAACCCGCGCCTGTCGTTTACATCGGTATGTGCAATGTTTCGTGTGTGTCGCGTGCCGAAAAATCCGGGGGGCGCAGTTTTCGGACGTCCTTTTTGCAGACGCTTCTTGCGTGGTTTTGCATCGGTATTTACAGTGTTTCGTGTGGGTCGCATGCCACAAACACCTCAAAAATGCAGTGTGTCGGCGCGGCAGGAGGTGTTTGGTCTGGATTAATTCATGCAAAAAACGGCTAGATGTCGTGTTTAGCACGTGTTGCCCGTGCGTGCGAATGATAACGTCCGTGTGACCAGTGCATGCGAGTGGCCAGAGCATCCATGTCCGCACGATGATATCGTCCGGGTGACCAGTGCTTGCGAGTGGCCAGAGCATCCATGTCCGCACGATGATATCGTCCGGGTGACCAGTGCGTGCGAGTGGCCACAGCATCCATGTCCGCGCGATGATAACGTCCGCGTGACCAGTGCGCGCGAGTGACCAGAGCATCCATGTCTGCGCGATGATGACGTCCGTGTGACAAGCGCGTGCGAATGGCCAGAGAACTCATGTCCGCACGATGATAGCGTCCGTGTGACCAATGCGTGCGAATGGCCAGAGAATCCATGTCCGCACGATGATATCGTCTGTGTGACCAGTGCGTGCGAGTGGCCAGACACTGGCCAGACCATCCATGTCCGCACGAACGTTTGTGTGGCCAGTGCGAGTGGTTAGAGGATCGCACGATGGTGACGTCTGTGTGACCAGTGTGTGCGTGCGAGTGGCCAGAGCATCCATGTCCGCACGATGCTTGCGCCGTGTGACCAGTCCGTGCGAGTGGCCACAGCATCCATGTCCGCACGATGATGGTCCGTGTGACCAGTGTGTGCGAGTGGCCACAGAGCATCCATGTCCGCACGATGACAACGTCCGTGTGGCCAGTGCGTGCGAACGGCCAGAGCATCGCGCTGATATGTCTTCTTTCCAGCCTAAACAGGTGCGCGTCGTGAAGAAGGCTTGCCGTGGCAAAGAAGCCAGCTGCGTGTTTCTCTCCTAAGGCTCCTAAGGAAAGAAATGTTCGTGTGGTTGGCGGAGACAACCAGTGTGAGAGTCAAATTGCTGCTGGAAAAACCAACCACGTCGGCTGAATGCCTTAGGCAGAATGGCGCCGCGCAATGCCCTGCTTTCTGCTCGTCGCCTTTTGCGGAAGCCTAGATTGCAAACCATCCTTGAAGCTCTGCATCTTTCGAGCCGGACGTGTAGGACGCGATCTTTCGCACTATTGCGATGTCAAGCATGATGCAAGCGGGATGTTTTTAACGCCATTCCGCGTGGAAGGGCGAATCCAGAAAAAACAAGCAGCTTTCGAGCAACATTGGTGTGTAGCCTACAGTGTGACTTGCTCGGCAGGGACAGAGGTTTCAGCGCTCTGTACTGTTTGGGCGCACGCGAACATCCCCCTGGCGCGTTTGAAAAGCTATACCAACGTTGCACTTGACCTCAGGCGGCTACTATGTCACCATCACGGGAGCTTTGCCGCAGCAGCCGAGACCAAATGTGAAGGCTCTCATATTCCTCAATTCAAATGCTGCCCCTGGCCTATGACGACTACATGAATCGCATCCCCATGATGTCATGATGTGAGAACAGCCACCAGGCCAGCATGTTCATCAACTCTGCGACCAATCTTGATAACCTGCAGCTCCTTGGTTTGGCAAAAGGTCTGACAAGGTTGGCAGAAACGCCACCCCATTTGTTGGCTCATTGAACTAAGATTGCTCGAAGAGCTACGGGATTTGGTGGACCGCGGCCTTTTACGCATGCCCGAAATGCGGAGATACGAGCTCGCAGATATCCTCGAGGCCTTCAACGCCTCGGCCCCTTGCCAGCAACTCACATGCAGGGCGCATGAGTGTCATGAGGGGCTCTCTTTCACACGCGCCGAGGCAACCCACCATGTCCGTGGCAAGCTCGTCATCGACATGACACGCTCTAGCCAGAGTGCACTGACTGTCTGACCGTGCCTGGCAGTTGCAGAAAAGAAGGGCTCCTGACGATTGTTAGCTTATTGTAGTCGATGTTGTCGTGTGAAATTGGCAGATGGTTTTCACCGATGGGACCGTCTACAGGCGCAATCGGTTGACCTTGTGTTTTCTGCGCATGCTCTTGGCGGCCGTCGTTGCATTGCAATGTTGTAGAGATGTTTCAGGGGCAAGTTCCTGAACAACCGCCGCCATGGACACGGACATTACAGGAGAGAGCACTCGGAGGGGTCGAGACTGCAAAGTCGCAAAGCTCCCCTGAAATACCTCGAAAGGACGGAAAACGGCAGCTGGAGCCTCAGTGAGTCCCCTTTTTTTTTTGGCGACCTTTTTTTGGTGGGTTTGTTTTCGAGAGCATTGGCCAAGCCTTGACCCTTGGCTCAGCTCCCATCTACACGGGCCCGTGGAAGAATGACGAGCCGGGGACTGGCTATGCGGACATCCTCTACCCTTCAGGTGCCCCACCCTTCCCCTCCCTCCTTCATTCCTTCATGCCCCCATCCTCCATTCTAAGCGCGGTCCCTGCAAGTGCTGTCTGCACGAGTCGTCTGTGCAAGTGCCTTCAGTTTAACGAGGGAACCGAAACAGCTCGGGATGATGCAGTAGAATTGAAGCTATTTTTGTTCTATCATGAGTGCCCCAGAGCCTGTCGGGAATCAGCAGCAGTGCAGTTTAGAAATGCAATAAGGGCATTTCGGCCCGAGTCTGCGGCGTCACAGCGCCACAAGCATATGCAGCATATGCCAGGTCACCGCTACAAAGGCAACGTGTGCGATGGCTGCCGAGATGGCCGGGGCTCTTTGTGGCATCAGGGCCCGGGATCTCAAGTCGCCCGTTGTGGCAGCAGTCCATGGCCTTGCAGTTTTTTGGGGCTCTCTCCTTTTTTTCCTTTTTTTGAGACCCGGATGGTGATTCGACGTTTCTGTACCGGGGCCAGTGGGAGGCGTGGCTTGCCCGTGGCTTGCCCGTTTCTCGTCTTTCTTCATTTGAATTCATTTGTGTGGTTTCGCCTTGAAGAGGCTGACGAGATGCACGGCGAGGGAGAGCTGCATTGCAGCGACGGCGTCTACCGCGGCCAGTTTGTGCAGCGACCTCAGAAAGCGTGTTTTGTTTTTTTCAGAGCCAGAGCGAAAGAGAGACAGGGTGTTTTTGCGCCGTGTAGAAGAGGCAGGACGGAAGGAAGTGAGGGAGGGAGCAAGAGGGAGCAAGGCGTGGGGGGGAGAGTGAGTAAGAAGAAATGTTTGCCATTAGTGGCGCTCCTTCTCTTCTCACCAGGCACGGCCTTCGGGAGGGCAAGGGCAGGTTCGAGTACGCGAAGAGCACCGTACCTTGACTATCCTTGACTCCTTACTGTGTTCTGTCGTTCTGTCATTTACCAATTGAGACAGATCTGAGGAGACGCTTAGCTACTATGAAGGAGAGTGGGAAGAGGCGGGGCTTCAACTTCTTACAGGAACATGGTAGTATCATGGTTGAGCCAGGGCTCTGGCTTTGCATTCGGGAGGATCAGCCGCACGGTGCTGGCACCTTCGTAGATGAGCATGGCCAGGAGTATGCTGTTCGTTTCTCAGCCTACTGGGCACCGCAGAGTTCGACTACAGTGATTACAGCCTGTGTACATGGTCGGTGTCGCTGGCTCAGGACCGAGAGTTCGAGCACGGAGACTTGATAGGAAGTCGCATGACGGGGAGGTTGCCTGGTCTGTGACAAGACCCTTCAACCGAAGCGACAGCAGAAGATAGCAGAAGTAACCCAACCATGAATCAACCACGTGTCAGAGCTTGATGGGCAGTTTGGAGTTGTTTGGAACACGCGCTGCCACTGAGTCTTGCAGTATCATACGGGAATTGGACAGCTGTGGAAGACCTGTACGCTTTCCACAGACCTGCAACTCAACTTTATTTCCGACTCATACCTTTGTAGAGGTTTTGGGGTGGCTCCTTGGCCGTGTGTCTGTGTGTGTATATGGGTGGGTGTGGTGTTCTGATTGGTTCTGATTCTCTGATTGGCCCTGGGTCCTGGGGGAGTGTCTTGCTCCAAGCCCCCCCCCCCCTCCGCACACACAAAATGCATCTCAAGGTATCTCAAAAGATCATCAACAGACAGCGACAGCAAACGTCTGTGGAGCGGACGTGGCTTGTCAAGTCATGTCTCCACGAAGACACAATGAAGACTCGTTTTGACGCACCGTGTGACGTTGCATCTGCCCAATCCGCTCAACTCCACACTTCGCAAATCGCCACGGAGAACGGACGAGGACAGGCAGGTGCCCAACTTGTCGGAAGGAAGTGGCGTATCTGTGCATGTGTAAAGAGGATGCGAACCTCCCCACCCCCCCCCTGCCCCGCCCCTTGCCCCGCCCCTTGCTCCGCCCCTTGCCCCGCCCCTTGCCCTGCCCCTTGGCGTCCCCGAAATGTTTGCTGTTTTTCTTTTTTCTCACACTGTTTCCTTCTCTCTAACTTCACGGAGCTCTTCACTTGCTCAGAGAGCTCTGATCTGCTGTTGGGGAGGTCTAAGCGGATCTTCTCGGTGAAGACGATCTCCTCGGTGTCCCTGTCACTCTCGAAGCGGGAGACCAGGGAAACACATGGAGGGAGAGAGCGACAAGTCTGTGCCGTGCTTTTCAGGAAAGGCTTTTTATGCTGTTTGTTTGAATACACACATTTGTATACATACATACATACATATGTATACATATATCTATATATGTATATATGCACATGTATATGTATATGTACATGTATATGTATATGTATATGTATACATATATATGTATATGGCATATATATATATATACATATACATATGTATTTGTGCTAGCCCCCCGCTCCCCCCCCTTTGACCTAGCCGGCTGCCCTGTGTTCCGTGTCAGAGCCCTTCGTTGTGCTTGAGAAGATGGTTTTGCCGGCCTGCCTTGTGTTTCAGAAAATGGTTTGTGTGAGAAGATTCCGCGCCAGGGTGCACCCATATACCCCAGCCTCCAGAACCTACCTTCTTCAATATTTTGTCAAGCAAAACCAGAATGTGTTTAGAAGGTTGAGAAGAACATTCCTGACTCAATCCTGGCTCTTCGCTTGGGGTTTCGCCGCCTAGAGGGTTAGGAAGATGAAGCTTTGCTCTTTGCTTAAAGTTTGGTTGACTTCTCGAGGATTGGGAAGATGAATCCCTACTCCTTGCCTGTTGTTTCGCTTGTTGGAGTGCATAGTACTAGTTCGCGGTACAGAACAAAGTCTAAACGTTACCTCCTTTCAAGCGAGCGAAATCAAGAAAATCACACACCGGTACAGCAAAGTCAATCCAGCAAGGGTTCTTCTTCCCATCCTGGAAGCGAAAATCCAAGCCGTTATGAGTGCAGTACATGCACACATCAAACTCCTCTCGTCTTTTCTCGAATGAAATGTGCTTCCATGTGCTTGTCAATGCATTTTCGTGTCGGAAGTTTTGGCTAATGACTTATGTGTGCAAGCTGATGAGTCTACAGTATGGTGGAAAGGCAGAGAAGCACTTGCGATCACGGCAATGAGTATCAAAAGAAGTAGAACAGCAAAGCTCGTGGTGGGCATGGAAGTCCAGGCAAACGAGAAAACTGTGAGCAGAAATATTGTCAATGATTCCCCGGACTTCCTACGACCTCTCCACGTCTACTTAACGAAACCCCTGTGGAGTCAACAATAAACGAATGAAGAGTCCTGAAAATTGGTGGTTCTTACATCGAATGACCCCCCTAGAGATTCCAAAAAAAATGAAGGGCATGATTGTGACACATAGTACGTTTCAGGTTGTGTCGGGGGGAAGTTTGGAAAACATTGGCAAACCCAATGTTTTCCATGATTCCCACCTAACAACATGGAAACACTTGTAAGACCAATGTTTTCCAACAATTCTAGATTTTCTGGAACTATGAGTAGCTATGAGCCTGAGGCCCTGAGATCTCTGAGAAAGCATGGAGAACATCGAAAACATTGGTAAACCCCAATGTTTTCCGTGATTCTGCCTCCAGAAGTTTCCATGGTTTCCGAACTCCGGGGCTCAGGCCCATAGTTCCAAAAGACGCGGAGCTTTCGGAAAGCATTGGTGGTAAACCCAATGTTTTCCATGATTCTGCCTCCAGTAATAACGGAAAACATTGGTTAACTTAATGTTTTCCAAGATGCTCATGGCTTCCGAAAGATCTTGAGAGCCCTCAGGGCCGCTCCTAGATCTTTCGAGAGGAGAGATCCGGGCATCATGTCGAGCTCAACACTGAGGCTCTGCTCTCGACTCTCAACTTGCGAGTCTCTGCTCCGAGTCTATGCGCAGAAGCGCGCAACTGGGAGCAGGCTTCATGACTTCATGGGCTCAAAGATCGGCTTGGGTGCAGAGCTCCGTTCTCCGCGTACTTCTTTTGTACTCTACGTTTGTCCCTTCGAGAGCTTCGGATGTCCTCCAAGAACACCAAAAGTGACGACAGCTTCGCATGTCGGGAACCCCGATGTCCAAAAGCGGCGGTTTCGTTCAGGAACCCGGATTTCTGAAAGCGGCAGTTAGCTGCGTCGATGCACCTGTGCCTAGGTGGGCCGAAATGCAAAGATGCCCAAAAGCAACGACAGCTTCGCATTTGGCGATCGCAGAGGTCCAAGAAGGACGACATTTCACATTTTTCGAACCCAGACCTTCGTTCAAACGCGCAGCGCAACAGTTTCGCATTTCGCGAACCCGGAAGCGACGACAGTTACGAGGATGACAACATCGATGCGCGCGGCGCCCAGGCGGGAGCACCGCGCTATCTCCAACATCGCGAATTGCAAATCCCCTTTGTCTGGCCACACGCAGCGAACCCATCCAACGGCCAACAACGAGGAATCCACGCGCCTGTCGCGTTTTCAGGACACTCAGCGATGCAAGCCTCAAAAAGTGCACGGAACCCAGGCTGAGAACACGCTTTCCGTCCGCGTACGGGGCCTAGGCGAGAGCGCGATGCGACACTATGCACGAAGCCAAAAGCAGGGTGTGGGCGGAAGGCGGAAGGCGTGGCCGCGTGGCCGAAGTACGGGCTGAGCTATCTTACGCCGATTGCGCTGACTGGTGAGCGCAGGCACCCGCGCCGTGGAAAAAATATGTCCAAATTGCGACCACCGCTCGAGGAACAGCGTCCTCGTATCGTGGGCGTCTCGTGTGCAACTCAATCTTATTCTTTTCATGACACTGAACGTAAGAACCCTTAGTGTTGGCACACTGCTTAAGGAATGCATATGTGATCTGTGTGTACTCGTATGTAATTTGAAAGGGGAGACACGATTTGCCTAGAACAAGCCTTTCTGGCCCAGAGAACACAATAATTCCAAATAGCAAAAGTTGTTCTTTTCATATCGCTTGGGAAGACCGACCTATAGATACGTCACATCCTTTCTTATCGGTCTGTGAGGTGGATGTCCGCTTGGGTAGCATATACATAACATGTATGTGTAGGTGTAATTTGTATATATATATATATGTATATATATATATATACATATATCAATATAGATATATACACGTACATGTATTCAAGCTCCTTAGATTGTTCAAAGAGCATTCCCTGCTTGGAGCTCAACTTGTGGTGTTCTTGTTCTTTGTTGTGTTCCTGCTTGTTCGCCACTTGCCACCTGTTGGGCAAGGCAAAAGCCTTCTTCCAGCAAAGTCCTCCCAGGTGACGGGGCGGGCAGAACTTTCACCAGAGCAGCTGTTGTTTGTAGAGAGGGGCTTGTCCAGGACCGAAGAAGGACATCCCACACACGGGCACGGTCTGCCAAAATGCAGGCCTGCTCCCAGAGGAGGCAGTGCACTCTGCAAACGCTTGTCCACTCAGTCTTTTCCGTCCAGACCTCTCAAGTCGGCCCTTCGGCCTAACAAGTTTGCAGGAGCCAGTACAAACGCGGCCAATTGACGTCGGAAGTGGAGTAAGTCATGCGCGGAGCCGCCCAGCCCATTGCGGACCCGAACATGCTTCTTGATGCATGAAAGCCGATGTCAGTCAAATTTGGTGCTTTGCTTCCCTTCTCTTTGCCTGCATCCAAGTACATCGGCCTGCGCTGGGCATGAGAACATGCGGCCGAAGCTGCAGAAGTGAGATGGCGAACGGAAATGCTGGCCTCAAAGGGGCTGCAGTGTTGGATCCCAGTGAATGCCAAGTAGTGTACATTGCACGTAATTCTCGGAGTATGTCGTCTGGGGATGAACGTATCTCACAGAACATATGGTCCGAGGATGTAGAAAAGTGTCCTCCATGTCTGCCATGTAAGGACCTTTCAGTTGTACCTTTCAGCTGCCTTTGTCAGGGTCTCTTGAAGCTGCCTTTGTCAGGGTCTCTTGACGCAGATCTCGGTTACAGCTCTTAGCACAGTGGGAGAGCCCAGTGAAGCGGGGGGAGCCCCCAAAGCCGCTCGCCCACATGGGCCACGCCATGGAGCCCAGGCAGTCGGGGCCCCGCTCATCTGTTGTTTTGGGGTGGAAAGCTTTGAGCTTGCTTTTCCTTTTGCTTCACTTCTTTTTCCGTTCCTTCTGTTCCTTCAGGCTCTTTCTCCTGCTCTCTTCTAGGTACGAGGCCATGATCGCCAAAGCACAGAGCGGGTGCGCAGCTGAATCTCCGCGTCTCGTGGCGTTCGTGAATTGGTGTTAACAGAGTCTTGGAGTCCAGCGATTCTCAGGTCCGCAACCTCTGCCGCTCAGCAAAACACCTTCTTTGGAGCCTTGCAAGCAGGTCTATTTTTGTGGCTCCTGCCAGGCGACGGAGCTGCTCCAATTCATGAGGCCTCACGAACAAAGCACACAAACCAAGCATAGACAGTTCGGCTCACATAGTGCTCGCCAGAACGCACAAGATCCACCAGCCCGAGCTCGTCCTGCTCCACGGCGCGGGACCCCTCTTCTCAGAGAGGAAACTCGGAGAGCCAGAGAAGGGAGAGCATTCGCGAGCGCGGGCAGCGCGGGGGCTCTGCTCAGCTCTGCGCCTCTGAGGCGCCCGGCTGCTCAAGGGCGGCGCGCGGGCGCTGGGGAACGAGGTCTGGACCGCCGCCTCGGCTCACTTTTGGAGAAGAGCGTTGCAGACAACGCAGGTTCTAACAGGTTCTAAGCGTCCCAAGAAGTTCTACAGGGGCTGAAAAGCGCCCCAAAGAGCCAACAAATTCTCAAAGTTCCAGAAGATTCAGAAGTTCTACAAGTTCAAAAACTTCTCAAAGTTCTAACAGCTCTCAAAGTTCTAACGGTTGGAAAAGTTCCTTTTTGTTCTAAACGTCTAGAAGTTCTGTTCTACAAGTTCGAATAGTTCTGAAAGCTTTAGAGTTCCAACAGTTCCAACAGCTTCACTTGTTGTAAAGGTGTTAGAAAAAGTTCCAAGAGCTCGACAGGTTCTATAAACTCTAAAGTTCTTAAATCTCTGAAAGCTACGGGCTCCAAAGCCTTAAAGAGTTGTCGAACAGTTCTAAAAGCTTTCAAGAATTGAGGGGTTCGAACAAATCACTGATTCTTTGCAGTTGCAGAGTTGATATATCTCTAGGTGGTTCTTAACATTCGCAAAGATCCAAAAGCGGACGCAGTTCCAAACGTTCAAGAAGTTATGAGTTCAGACAGTTCTAGAAGTTCAAAAAGTTCAAAAAGTTCCTGAAGCCTGCAGCACTTTGATCCGCTCTCTATCCTAGTTGAGGGAGCGTTAAGGCGTGCTTAGTCCTAGTATGCATACTGAATACCTTTCGGCGAAACAGCACAAACCACAAGAAACCGCGCTCGCATAGTACTGGGAAGGCGGGGCCAACCCCTCCTAATTTTTCGAAGCAGTCCCAACCTGATCGCATACCACATGCCAGCACAACCTCCCATTTTCTCTCCTCTCAGTGTCCCCCCTTCGGCTCGGCTTCCTCCATGCACCCGGCCGTTGCCTGTGAACAGCTCCTTTTGATTTTTTGGCTCGGCCTTGTACTCCAGCTTGGGTCCACGGGGTCTTGGGACAACTTGGTTCTTATGTCACCTGATGTTACCACTTTGGCAAGTTCTAGGAGTCTAAACAAGTTCTAACAGTTCCAAGCGTTCCAAGCGTTCCAAGCGTTCCAAAAGTTCAAAAAGTCCTCCGGGCCGGCTTCTTTCTGGCGCAGTTGGCCCTCTCTGACTTGCTTTTTAAAAGCAACATTCCGCTGCAATTGAGAGTGTGAGCTTCCCTGGCCTGCTTCTGAAGGCAGCATTCCAGTCAGTAGCCCACCTGTCGTCCTGTTGTCTTGAAAATTGTACAGTTTCCAGGTCCGTATGGACAAGTTTGTCCATGCAGGGGTGTGCCACCCACCCCTCCAATTCCCATCCGCTTGAAGTAGCAGCAGCAGAGGAAGAAAGGCCCAGGAAGATATAGCCCGCGCGTACCTACACACACGCGTTCTACAGCTCTTGAAAGAGAAAATGCAAGGTTAAGCAGCTCTAAAGTTCGACAAGCTCTGGGCGTTATCAACAATCCAACAGTTCAAAAGATTAACAAGTCTAGAAGCTTTAATATTTCTAGAAGTTCCAGAAGTTCAAAAAGTTGTGACAGCTTAACATTTTCTAAACGGTCCGGAAAGTTCTACAAGTTTCAAATGTTCTAGAAAGTTCGAAAAGTTGAAAAAACTCAAAAACCCACCCAAAGCATCCAAGGCGAGAGAGAGAGAGAGAGAGAGAGAGAGGGGTTGGTGCGGTCGCCCGGGGGTTTTGCCCCCACGCCCCCAGAAAGAAAGACAGAAAGAAAGAACGAAAGAAAGAAAGAGAGAAGGAGACAGAGAGAGAGAGAGAGAGAGAGAGACAGCGAGAGAGGGAGCGAGGGGTTCAAAACAAGCGAGTATTCCAAGAGGCTTTGTCAAAGAGCTCAAAACACTAGCAGGAGCTCGAAAAGAGCCTCAGGTCATGGAGCAGGTTTTCCTTGCAGCCGCCGAGCTCGGTTGCGACCAATGGCGGGACATCGATGCGCTGAGAAGCTGTTTGTGGAACAAATTGTGTGGTTAGCTGACTTTAGACTTCAGACTTTCCGATGTGCTGCTGTGCTTGGCAGGACTACTGCCTCAAAGAGCTGACCAAGAAGTTTCCCTCATCCCTGCGAGTAGAGCGATTGAAAGGCCAGGTCGCTGCGAAGCCCTTTTGCTGGAACGGTTGAAGCGCTTCACAGGCATTGAGAAGGAAAGCTTGGCAGACTGGAAGGAGGCCGACAATTGTGTGCTGTAGCTCTGTCTCTCTCGCTCTCTCTCTCTCTCTCTCTCTCTCTCTCTCTCTCTCTGCGGCAAGAGCAAAGGAAGCTGGGGGAGCAAACTTTGAGTTTCTTGAAGCGCTGAGGAAATTACAGAGTGCAATTCTCAAAACTTGGCATCTTGTAAATGCACGCATGCGGGTATTTGAGGCACCTGGTGCCCTCTGAGCGCCCAACGTAGAAGTGCAGGTGGCCGGGGAGTCGAGAGTTTAACGGTTCATGGTGTCAGGCCAAAGACGTACCGATACCACGGGGCCCAAAATCACGAGTTTTGCGCTGCCCCCGCAGGTCAGGCCACGTGAGATTTTTCGGTTGTTCACATGCAAACACCTCCAAAACGAGCGAGAGAGCCCCTGCGAAGGATGTTGCCGACGCTCAGGGACATACCACGATGCAGCACGGGTGGACATGGAAAATTGTGAAATCCACCTGTGCCTGCGTAGTGAGGAGTGCTGAGGAGTGTCGAGGAGTGCCGAGGAGTGCCGAGGAGTGCCGAGGAGTGCCGAGGAGAGCCACGGAAGAGGCCCTGAGGCCCTTGGGCATGTGACAGGCCCGTAGGACGGGCCATCTCGCCACGAGCCCGTTCTGCGAACACCAGTTTCCAAGGAGGGACTTCAAACTTTTCAAGCTTTATGCAAATTTCATGGTATTTGTGCGCAGAAAGCTGATCCAGTGATCTTCGTACGCGCAAATGTCGGCAAAGATCTAGACATGCACATTCCTTTTGTGCGAGTCGGGACAGAGCCGCAAAAGATGGCCGCATGACCTTGGCCCTTGTGGCGTCCGTTTATGTCCGTTTTTGTAGGCTGAGAAGATCTACCAGAAGATTTTGGCAGGCAAGCCTGAGGCCTCCCAAGTTGCGTGCAAGCGAACGGGACATTTCTGCGTCGTGTTGCATGTACGCATGATTACGCATGCATGTGCGCGCGTGCGCGTGAGTGCGTGTCATAGCCAGGATACTGTGACTCACAAGCGCCTCATCGCTATGTCGTCGCCCCAGAGAGCTTGAGCTGCCAAAGCCATAGCCCACGGCTATCAGTTGCGCTGCACTGCGCTGCATTCCGAAGGTACAAGCAGAGCGGCAAAGTTCCTGAGGCATAACTTAAGCATTCATTCAGGGTATCACGGTCGCATCTACATCTCTAAACTCTAAAGGCCATCGAGTCCATCAACACCTACCTCGAGACCTTCAGCACCGACTCGGAGGAGATCGACCTGACAAGAAAAAAACATGAGAGATATTTTGCAGGAGTTTTGGTCCGGAAAGTGTCAGCTGCGTGCAGGTCTGGCATGAGCTTGGGGAGCTGTATCTTGAGGCATACAGCAACTATGAAGCGGATGCCATGTCAGCCGGCTATTTGTTGAAGTCTTGTCCGCCAGTGCGGGATGCTGCAGCGGGCAGTGTTCTGCTTTGAAGAGCTCATTGTCCACAATCCCCGTTCTATGCCTGGGTCTCAGAGTGAGCCTTGAAAAGGTGTGGGAGAGGAGAACAGGTCCCAGGAGCTTTGTCTCAGGTACAACATTCTCACGTATGCAGAGCTCCTGTACTCTACGGGGGACCTAGAGACAAGCAGAAAGTCCGGGCCTCCAACTCCCTGCAATTCGCTCCAACTCTCAAAGTCGTGCAGAGTGCCGGTGGCTGGAGGTACTTCAGCCTAGCAGCCTATCTTGACGGTGCAAATCTTCGTGCGCTTTGGGGGCTGGTGGCTTGCAACATGGCCTGGTGCTAAAGCGCCGGACCTTTGGTCCTGCACTCCACTTGCACTTGTTTTTGAATCTTGTCGGATTCGAGTTGTCTCGGGTCTGCTCTGAGGCTTTGATGGAGAAGGACAAGACTCGAGAGAAGTAGCTTGGCAGAAGGAGCATGAATGCGCAACAGTCCTGTTTTATTAGGGGTCTCCAGCATACGGTCCGCCTGTTCCTTCAGAAATGATCACGGAAAACACTGAGAGTGCAAAAAACACCTCCAAAAGCACGCAAAAAAAATGGAAATATCGGGTCAAGAAGAGCAGAGAAAGGAGCTCTTTTTTGTTTATTCTGAGGTCAAAGCAGCTTCAGGAGCTGCAGAAGTTCACGGTGCAAAGGCTTCGAACCGCGTGCCCAAAGCTGCGAGAGCCTGTGAAGCCCAAATCCTATGCTTCAATGAGGCAACAGCAACAACACAATGACAAGCATTTAGTTCTTTTTTGGTTGTCTGCCTTCATACTTGGGGGCTGTAGTGAAGCGCTTCGGAGGTACAAGGACCTTGGTGGCTCCGGTGCACATGGCACGGATCTCGCATTGCCTTTTGCTGTGCCCAGTCGTGGAGCCTTTTGGGCCTAAGGCAAGCCTGCGTTGAACCTGCTGGCTGCTGTTTCGACCTGACTGGTGGTGACACGAGTTTTGGCGTTGCACAGTCGAAAACAGCTTCGTGGAGATTGATGAGCCTTGGTTTTCGTTGCCCATGCATGCTCACTTTTTGTAATTTCACAATCTTGCCATTTGGCCGGTCTTTGCCAGTGGCCGTGCAGGTTCAGCCTAGGGCCTAGAAGCACACCAGCAAGAAGCAGTACACGCATGCTGGAATGCTGCTAGAACCCATTGCCAGCACTCTGACACAAGAAAGAGTCCGGAGATCCTTTCGATGAGTCTCCAGGGGGCAATGGGCGTGTTTGCAAGTCAGTCGGCGCCCTGATGGTTTTCCCCGTTTCTGTGAACCAGAAGGATCCTCAAGATCAGCTAGGCTTGAGATACCAGTTGCGCCCCTTGCTAAGTTCTACCCGTCGTGCTGAGGTAGGCTCCAATCGCAAAATGGGCAACCAGCAAGGGAGGCAGTGGCTTGTTCTGCACATTAGTTGATGGCAGTGATACGGTTTGCACGGTGTGCAAGATGTGAAAGATGTGTTTGTGCCAATTGGTGGATATTGGTGGCAATTGTGGCAGGCGGACCTTGGCCAGCCGGGGGCCATCAGGCGTGTTACAGTTGTGACCACGCCTACGGTGCAGGTGTGTTGGACGTGTTCGTGAGAAGACGAGCGATGGAGAGAACGAGGGGTCCCTTGGAGGGTTTCCGGGGGTCCTTGTAGCCATCTGGGTGCTTCCAAGGCGCTGCTCAGAAAATGCCCGCACGCAACAGCAAGATCCAGCAGAAGCCCCCTGCAAAAATGGCAAGGAGAACCAGCTGGAGAGAGACATCGACACAGAAGTCCTTTCGGGTTTGAAGCCCCAAACGCGCACCGTTCCCAAGAAGCGAACAGTGTAACTGCGAATAGGTTTGCCGAGCCTTTATGCCTCACGTTTTCCGCCTGCCAGATGCTAGTCTGCTTAGATGCCTCTTGGAAGGCTGTGACGACCTGTTGGTTTTGCTTTTATATTTTAGACTTTTTCTGGTTTCGGATAGTTTCAAAGAGGCGTGGCCTTGCCCAGCGGCACCGCCTTCGTGCCACAGGGCGGCCCCTCTCCAGTCGGGCCCACACTCGCATTGCGACGTTAGGAAACGTTGAACGTGGAACGTGGCATGTTGCGTGCCTTGCCTCTTGCGTGCAGCCTTAGCAAAGGAGATGACGAGCACTGTTGACGTTGACTCCGTGCAGGACGATCGCTGCTTGGCAACTCTGGTTTGGCCTCACTCTGCCTTTCACCTTTAGAAATCCTCAAATTGCCAGCGAAAGCGTCTCAGAGCTTTCCCTTTGTCGAAAAACAGAAGCGCAGACAACACAGGGGGGAAGCCGTAACATGCCGTGACATTGCCGTGACTCTCCAAGGCATTCCTGTGGTCTTCACTTGGACACATGGCGGTGCGACTCCTAGGTAGATTCGGCGATTCGCAAGCTCGAGATGCATGCGGCCTAGGCCAGAATGTGTTCCTTGCTGCCTCGTTCAATGGCTGGCGAGACCAGATCCCCATGGTCCGCTCTGGGTGCGCCACGTGCCTTTCATTGTCTTGCCCTTTACCTTGCTGCCTTGGCACCTGTGGCAACTTGTGGCAGGCAGGAGTTCTCTGTGGTACAAGAGCTTCCTCGAGGCTCCTTGCTTCGGACACTGTGTCCACATGCGATTCGGGGCACGAATGAACGCAGTAAAACCACCATTGACAAGTTACCGCATTAAAGGACTCATTAAAAGCCCCTACAATTATAATACTACGGGCCAGTTCACTTATAAAGAATGCATGAAGTGAACGTAAGGCCCATATTATTATATTGGGGCTTATAATGTACGTCCTTTATGCCCCTATAATAATATTACTAAAGGGGCGTGCATTCTTTACCCCCTTTAGTACTATTATTATGGGGGGAAAAGAGCACCATGAACAAAGACGAATTATGTGCTCTTTTCACACTCTTTATAATGTATCCCGGGCCTTTATTCGCACGGTAAATTCATGCACGCGTGCGTAATGTTAGCCCGGGTGAATGAACAAAAGCCCAAATTATAAGCGCAAAAACGTGCGTTAACTTACTTTTTGCACTTTTAATGGGGCTTTAGTGAGTGAGCGTAGTGAGCGTGAAGTGAATAAGCGAGTTTACGAAGTGCATTCACGTGCCTGCCAAGACATGCAGGTGTGCACCAGTACAAGTTCATCGTGGATGATCAGTGGCGTTTTGCACCGGATCAACCCAGACCTTCGCCTAAGAGTTGGGGATAAGCGTTGCAGCAGCTGCAGCGCTGGTCACACATCACGTTGTCATTCCTGTCATTTCTTTTCGCACGACCCAAGGAATGCAGGATAGTGGGCCTGGCAAGTTTAGGGTGTTTCTGTGCTCACCGTCATTTCCCTTCCCGCGCCCTTCTGACAAAGGTCAGGGGAATATGAACAACGTGCTCGACATCTCAGCGTATCAGCGGTTCCAGGCACAGCTTTGATGCTTATCGCTGTCAGAAACAGTCGTAAGCACCGAGGCTTTTGCAGCAGTTTGGAACAGTTTGGAGCAGTTTGCAGGTGTCGCTGGAGGAAAAGGAAGCGCCGATGAAGTTTGGACAGATGATCCCAGACCCCAATGCTCCGCTGACAGATTTGAAAAGCTTGTGCATCCGCGTTTCGAAGCCCTCCCCCCCCTCCCCCCCCTCCCCCCCCCCCTTCCCTGGCACGCAACACAGGAGCCTCTTTGCTACAGGCGCACAGCTGTAGTCAGACTGCTAGGCTAGATTGCTAGAACCTTGAGCAGCAAGCATGGAAACATGCATCAGTGTTTCAACCAGGCACAAATTTGAAACACTTGAAACTGCATGGCCGTGGTATCGGCTTTCAGCTTGCCTTATGCTCAAGAGAATTAGAACTGCGGAGTCATATGAGCTACACTGCGGCTTGGTGAAAAACAAGCTGTACAGTACTTCTGCCGAGACAGTATATTGAAAGCAGAAACGTCACACGCAACAGAAACTACCAGATCTTCAGCTCAGGTTCAGAAATCGAAATGAAAAAGCTTTTGCCCACTACATCAGATCCAGTTACCTCTCCAGAAGGAAAGCTTACTGTGAAATCTGTTTGGTGAAGTTTCACTCCACCTGTGATGTCTCTAGCATGACATCTGCTCGATCAGAGAACCTTGGTTGCTTGGTTCCTGTCGATTGGTATTTGCTCGGAAAGAGAAACACTCCTTGTTACTTCAGGCACATAAGGCATTAGAAGTATCTCTTCTAAAGAAGAGTCTCTTCAAAGGAAAAGCACAAACATAAATGTATGTTCCTTGAGGATACCTTCTCAAAAGTGAAGCCTTCCTGTGTGGTGACACTGCCACTCACTTCTTTCCTTTGCCCTTGGTCTTGCCCTTGTCGTAGCCCGTGTAGTGACCTTTCTGAGATCCCTTGTCCTTGCCTTTTCGAGGAGGAGGATGATCAGGCTCAGTCGGTCTTGTAGAACCACGCCCCGATGGAGGCACGTCAGGTTCAGCAGGACGCCGAGAACCACTTGCCTGGGAAGCTCGTCCCATGCGCTTGTTCTCCTTCTGCCTGTCTTTCCTCCTCTGTGCGGCGTCAATGACACTTTGTCGCTTCCGATCGAGTTCCGCTCCGCCACTCAGAAATCGTCGACCATTTAGTTGTTGATTTCTAAACACCGCCCAGCTCTTAGGCGAGATGTCCAATCCGTATAAAGCACGGGTCACCAGCCATTTTTCATGCGGTGGAATAATTCCTGCTCGGGATAGGATTTTCGGCGGGTCCAATATGATGCGTTCCGTTTTGTGCTTGGTCCGTTGAAGGAGTGGGGCATTCAGGAAGGCTCCCTTGATATCCGTAGTCCCTGCTTTCCAACCACGACGGGCACCAACAGCAAGCGTAGCATGCAACACGCAGCGTACACTTCCTCCCGGAGCTCCTGCCTTGTTTTGCTGCTCTCTTCGGCCTGGAGAAAGTTCCCGCAAGCGCATGCCCTCGCTTTACGTTGTCCACTGACTAACCTTTCTTGTGAACGCATGCCATCCAGTATGTCGCTCTGCGCGTCAGCTTCAAACCCAATGGGTATCTCGGAGGCCACGATATGCCCCACCACGCCAGCCGCTTGCTCCCCTCCTCAGGAACCAAGAAACTCTCAGCGGTATCCAGCATTTTCAGGGCATCACTGTGGTCGAGCCGGGCTGATACCGAGGACAAACGTTTCTATAGTGTTCTAGATCGGCCTCGTCCACCTCCGTCGGGCCCATCTGGGCCATCTCCTGGTGGATCATCCTCCTCGTCGTCCCCCTGGTCCACATCATCGTCATCTTTTTGAGGCTCCTCTTCATTTTCTTCTGCGTGTGGAGGAGCTTGAAGCTCGTAAAGGACCTCTGACCGAATGACAATGTCAAGGCACTGCCAGTGAGGCGCTTCATCATAGCCCACCGCACCGTGTGGTTCACCATCGTAGCAAACTGGTAATTTCCAGCTGATTTTTCCAGCTGATTTTCATCATCGTACATGTAGCGGTAGTTTGTAATTGCTGCCAAGGTGAGGTCTGGCCGATCGTCCGTCAGAGCTCGTCTCCTGGATTCCGGGTCATTCTCATCCACCACATGTCTCTGAATTACTGGATCGATCTGCGTTCCGGCCTCTGGTGGATTGACTCGGTCCAATTGAATATTCGGATCTCTCAGGACTTGATTGGGGTCAATTTCCGGATCTGGCAAGAAATCGGCCCGCCTGAAACGAGAGTCATAGGCAGCTGAGGCAGCTTGGTTGACAGTTTCAGTGGTAGGTAGAAGACCATCCGGCGGAAGCACCGGAAGCCAGTCTCCCTCCCAGTCTGTCTTTCTGGCCCGTTTGCTTCTCCTTCCTCTCGCTGTCGCAGACGAAGCCTGGCGACTCGTGGCAGAGATTCAGTCGTAGCGCTTGTGTTAGAGGACTCAAATCCAGCTTACCCCCCCCCAGTACGTGCGACAGCAGGCAGTGGGAAACCTGCTGAGTATAAGCTGGCTCGCCTGCTGGAGTCCAACCTGCCATGCACTGCCAGAGTAAACGCCACAGCCAGCACGCGGGCCCATCTCTCATCATCTTCTGAAGCATGCCATTTGCGTGGATCCAACCTCATAGAAGCTCCGGAAGGAAGTCGATGAACCTGTAAAGGCCTGGACGGACCTCTTTCCGTACCACCTCCGCCATGGTGGGGCCATTTGTTGGCATCTCCACTTCTGTCCAGATAGAGGTTGATGCTGAGAGGCACACTAGCAGATTGCTCGTTCCTCGTTGATTGAAGATATCGCGACGCGGCCCTAGCCAAATGTTCACCGAAAGGGTAGACGAAGTCCAGGCTCTGGGAAAGCAGTTGTAAGGAGGGCATTCAAGACCTGAGTTCGTAGTCGATCGGGCTGTTGGGTAGTGGTATTGGTAATACTAATCACTCCTTAACTTCGTCCCACTTAGAGACTTAGCGAGTCCTGCAACCATTCGATTGTCTCTTGCAACGGTCCAGTGATCCAGGAGTCTGCCTTTTTCCAGGCTTGTACCAGGTTGTGCCCTGATTGCTCCTTGTCATGTTCCGGACAGGTCAAGACCGCCGGTGCTACCGACAACGAGGCCAGACAACGAGGCCAGACCCTGCTTGCCGCGGGCTCGCTGTCGTGGTGGCACTGCATCCACTCCCACCTCATCTAAGGCCGAGATTGCACCAGTGCCTGCCATTTGCACATTCTGAAACAGCGTAGTAGTCGTGAAGAAGTCATTTCCCACCTCACATAGCCTCTGGAAACATGTTGTGCCGGGGCAATCACCACTCCTTTGTGGACTCGATCATCCCGTTGCTCCGCTTTATGCCAGTGCCTTTTTCGGATCCACACCACTGCGCCAAACGGAACTAGCGGCATACCCAGTCGTGCCCTTGGCCCTGGCGTCGCTCAGCCACCCATCGCCATGCGCCCGGCCATAGTCGCTTGGCCGAAGTTTCTCCATGCAGCAATGTCCTTGTGGCCCATTTTGCATATACCGACCGCAGCTTCTGCCCTGCCATTTGCTTGTAGGCACCACCTTGTCCACAGGTTTGAAAGATTCCTCTATCCTGAAGCCAACGTCAGACGGGGGCATTGAGAAATTCTCCTCCTTTGTCTGTATGGAACCTGGCCACATGCATTCCCCGCATTTTCAGCTTGCTGTAAACGCGACCTATGGCTCCAACCACAGATGCTGGGGTTTTGTCTCGCAGGCTCAGCGAAGGTTAGCTCCACCATCTGCAGCTTGTCCAACTTCAGGTCTTGAGGAGCCACTGCGTCTGCTTGTTCTCGAGCCTTGACCAGATATTGCTTCCAGGCTTCAGCTTGTCCCGGAATGAGGCGTTTCTTCATTGTGTTCCCACCACTCACCGGAGCCTCATCATTCCAGTCCTCGTCGCAGTCCAGCCCATAGTTCTTTGGGACGACGGCCTCTTCATCTTTTGCCTGAGGTTGCAGTGGCTCATCCAATTGGGAACACCGCTCATCATCCAGGTCCGGTTCGTAATCCGGCGTCCCTTCGTCCAACAGCAACTGGGTGTCCACTCCCACCAAACCTTCTTCGTCCAGCAAAGATCCTGGGTCGTTGGCCGCCTCTGAAGAGCTGGGCTTTTCAGCTTGTTCACCTCCTTCAGGAACTTCAACGGTTGGTTCCGGCTCCAGATTTGCAAAGACCGGAATCTTGTAAACCATCGTGCACATGTAGGGACCACACATGATCGTGTAGGCTTCGCTGATAGGCAGTCTCCGACGCTGGCCGTCCTTGGCTCCACCTGCTAGACAATGTAGGCAATCGCGACGAAAAGGAATATGGCCCTGGGCAACATGTTGTCGGAACTTGGTATCCAGACGATGGATTGACAGCCCCCCCGGGACTAAGCGCAGCAGCAATTGTAGGACTGCCCACTTCAAACCATCAGGCCACTCATGCCCTTTGGTCATTTCTTGAGGATCCATTCCTTCCTCCAACGAACCACATTCTTTGCAGTTCACCATTGAAATCTCATCGAAGTGCAACTTCTGCGACACCAGCAGTCCTTGCCGTTTCAAGGTCCGGTGACCCAAATCGCCAAAGTCGACTTCCAATTTTTTCCAAGTTGTATTTTGTTTGACGTGTCGCACTTCTGGCCAATTCCAGATTTCCGGTCTCGAAGCTTCGTTGTTCTCCTCATTGTTTGGCGCCTTGTGTTCCGACACCAAGCCCCCTGCCTGGCTGTTGTCATGAAGCCTCCTTGCTTCTTCTGCGATCATGTACAGCACTAGCTGCCTCAAGACCAGGACATTCTCCTTCTCCACAGCTCGCAGGTCGCGAGGACCGAGCTCAGACTTGCCAAGTTGGTCTTGAGGATCATTCCCCATTGCTTGGATACCTTATCCAAAAGAAAAGCATACATTTGGTCGCGCAGTAGGTTTTCCGGCAGGTCCACATCGATAACATAGCATCCATCCATGCCCTTGCCATCCAGATACTGCTGAAAGAAGCCCCGGGTTTTGGCAATGACCTCCTCCGGCAGCTGCGAAAACTGGTCTTGCAACCAACGTTTCATGACCACTGGATCTTCGAACATCATCACCCCTTCTTGCTCCAGGCCAGCTCTGTCGCTATGATTGGTTCGCAGCGCCCTCACGAAGGCCAACTTTTCTCGCTTCTTTTGCTCAATGTCATCGATGAGTTGCAATGCCAAAGCTTCTGGAACTTCCGGACATCCTGTCACCGATCGTACTGGAAGCTGGCCAAACTTCGGAACTTTGGCGCAGATACCACCTTGATCCCAGGTCACCCCTATTCCCAGCTGGATTAGCTCACGCATGGCAACAATGGGACTCGTGGAGGGGTCATTTGACAGCAGTGTGCCAGCGTCGTTAACCCGAAGTTGTACAGAGCCTGTAGCTAGGGCCACCGTTAGGAGTAGCTCGTTGAAATTCCCGATTGGATTTGCCTTCCTCAGGCAAGCTGTAGCTCCTCCATCCAGTAGTCCCCAGCCGTCGGTTTCGCCCCGCAATGCTGGCAGTCTCATCGTCTTGATGAGTTCGGATGCCTCCTGAAAGGTTGCCTGTGCCGTCGAGGACGAAGCGGAAGTCGTGGAAGACGCTGGGTCATCCTGCTCACGAGGCTTGGGCTTTGCCTTCGTCTTTCCCCTGCCCTTAGCTTCTGTGGCTTTGTCACTGTTTTTCTTGGCGGCGGCGCCTTTTGGTGGTCCTCTGCAGAACAGTTGTAGCACCTTCCCACCATCCTGGCCTTGTCGTGCGGAAACCTCTCGTTGCCCCTAATCCTTGCCCTTGCCCTTTCCCTTGCCTCCAAGCTCGGAGCTGGTCACCATTTCCAGTTCTGCCAAGAGCATCTGTGCTAAGGACTTTGCCGAAGTCAACGTAGGGGCGTAGTCGATCTTGTTTTCCAATCGAAAGGTGGACAGGCGGAATAAGCTTTGCCCAGCAATCACTGCAGCTGTAATCTGGTCCAGTGCTTTAACCAGCAATGTTGGGTCAGGGAGTGCAAGCTTCAACTCCTGAGCTCTGGACTCGGGGCCTTGGAGTGGTTAACGTCTTTAGCAGGGCTTGCTTCTCCCCCGCTCCTCGCGGTTGATACTTTGTCAGCAACCGAAACAGCATAGGAATGGTTTGCGCCGCACGGATGGTTACCATTTCTTCCTTGACATCTGCAGGTAAGGCCGCCAGCATGAGCACTGCTCCTCGTTGCTCTGTTCGTGGCCACTTTGAGTGCTCAAACAACGCCGTCAGCCCCATCACCTTGTCCGAAGTTCCAACCTTTTCAGAGGAGACGCTGCCAACCACTCCTCATAGTCGTGGTGGGCAGTAGCAGTGACTTGCTCCCACCATGCGGAAGCCATGGCCGATATCCCCGCCATCATTGGCTTCAAGCCAATCTCCAAGGATCATTCCAGCATCCTCCGCGTTGCCCTTGGAAATGTCCAGCTTTGGCAGATCTTGAATGCTTCGTGCAGTCTCCTCCGACCCTTCTGAGACGATGTGGGACGCAGAAGCTGAAGTCTGTGGCCTCACCGTCATCTCAGGAGGCAACGGTGGAGGCGGTGGCACCACCTCCCAAACTGCAGGTCCCATGTTATGCCAAGATGCCTCCTCACCAGCTGCCACTCCAGGAACCATCGCTGTACTTGCTGAAGGCCCTGGTGGTCCCATTGGAACACGTGTTCCACCAGGTGGCTACTGGGCAAAGGTGGCGGAGGAGGTATCGCCCCAACGGAAGGAGCGACTTCGCCCGATCTAGCAGCTTCTTTAGCCAGGACCTGATTGCAACTGCATCTGCAACTGTTGTACCTGAAAACGCAAAGCCACCAGCTCTCGATCTCGCTCATCCAAGAAAGCATCGCCATCATTGGTCGATTGTCCCAAACCAGGTGGCGTTGCAACGTTGTACTGTTGAGGCCCGTTCGTCTCGGTAGCTTGTCCTTGGCTCCCCTGACTCAAAACCTGATCAGGGTTATTAAACTGAGGAACTGCTCCAGAACCTCCCGGTGGATTACCGGGCGGAGGTGGTTCGTCAGGATATTCCGTCGACTGAGGTAAGTCCTCATCATCCTGCGAAGGATGATAACCAGGTCCTGGCCCGACGGGCCGCCTCTAGGAGGAGGAGAAGGCCCGTGATCTTCACTCTCAAAATCATCCAAGTCTGGATCCGCAGCATCACCTCCTGGTACCGGCACTGACGAGCCGCCTCCAGGTGGATGTGGCGGCGGTCCTCCGCCTACCTGCAACTCAACAGGAGCATTGTCAAGATCCGAGCCAACCGGAACAGGCGGAGGCATATCCTCATCATCGACTGGCATCTCATCAGTAACGGGATCATCATAACCTGGATAGGTGCCATCATCACCGTTTTCATCGTATGCTGGCACAGGTTGGTCCGTAAAGTCAAGACCAACGTCCGGTCCTGTTCTTCGAACATACCTGCCACTTTCACTCCAAAACACTATCATGGACCACGTGTCAGGCTTCATATCCTTGAGACAAGGGAGCAACTGCGACATCGTCACGAAAAAGACATGATCATAATCTCCCTTGTTCCACAAGATGACAACAGCATCCGGGTGACGATGAATCCACGGGACAGCCGCGCCATAGGTGCCTCTGTAAACATTACAGTACTCGAAACTCATATAGGGCAAAGTGAGCTCACGAACTCCCTTGATCGTCGGCTTCAACATCACTGCATCCTTCGAAGCAGTAGTATGTATTTCAAGCTCTGTACCCAGAAGCAGATTGTCAATGTGCGACAGAGTCTGAACCAAAGAAGATGTCACAAAGCGCTGTGGAGCAACAAACCGGAGAGAGGGAGGCAGTCTTCCTTTAGCGTTCTCGTTCAGGAAAGAATACTCATTCTCTGATGGAAGAACACAAAGCGCACAAAGCTCCATCGTCGAAGTCCTGAAAGATATCCTCAAACAAACAAACTTGTCTCTGGTCAGAGAATTGGCTGTTGGTCAAACAATGCGACAGCAACACTGTGAATCTAGGATCAAGGAGTCCTTGACTGTTGTAGCGTTCAACCTGAGAACACAACCTGTCAAAAGAACCAGCCGGAAGATTCGACAACAACGAAAGTTCCCCCTGGCTTCCCAGAGTCACAAAGGCCATGCTGTTTCTCCACTTCAAGGAACGGCTGCACTGCGAAGACCAAAAACCATCATTCTTCGGATACATGAATGTCACAAAACAGCCTTCTCTGTCATCCTGCCAACGACCAACTTCGGCGCAAAAATGCCAGAAGGCTTTAGTAGCCTTCCGTGGCCACTCTTTGGGAATGACTGGATGGATCGCAATGTGATTTGGCTGAGCGTTCTCGATCACCTTCCATGCCTCTGCGATCGAAGACTGGATCTTCTTCGCAGACCATTCACCAAACAACACAGATTCACCCACATCGAAACCAACACGACTGGCACACGCAGTGAGTCCTGTCAGGTGAGGTGTGATCTCAACGAAATCGCTCTTCCCAGCCGAGAAGGTATGGTAACAAATCTCATGTTCGAGACAGAAACCAGAAGAAGCTTCGTCTAAAAGACGATCACCAATGCCATCGATTTCCTCGTCATACGACGAGCGTATCGACTCACGTGCCTCCTCTGATGAGGAGCTTCGTGGTTCATCAGACTTCAGAGGAATTGCCACATCATGCCATGGATCATGATCCCTGCGAACCTTCGACTGATTTACACGAAGCACAGACTTGTGAACCAATTCCTCTGACCCAAATGCTTTCGGACTTCTTCCTTGACTCATCTTTGTGCCAGACAAAGACTCGATCACGTGCAAGGTCCTTGCGGAGATCAAGTGATTGGCGAGCTTCTTGATGAGCTCTCATAGCAATCCTTTAAAGCTCCAATGTGGTCCTATCTTCTTCTGAAGGCTCTGCGGTCAACTGCTCTGGAGTACTCGTCTCCACATCAAACAAGTCAGGTGGTCGTCTACCAGTGGCTATTTCCAAAGGAGAATAGCCTGAGACAGTAAGTTGGCAGTTTCTTGCCCAAGCCACCCTCTTGACTGCTTGACGAACAGTGACCTTTTCAGCATAACCTTCGTCTGCCAAAGCCTTAGCCATAATCGACCAAGTGCGCTCACAGCTGTCTCAGCACGCGGCCAAGGAGTGCCACGTCCACATGGATAAGGAGTAATGCCATGAAACTTGTAGTATTCCATGTAGGGCTCGGTAAAGAAGGCTTGATCACCAACAATTCCCTTCGGAATGCAGTTGTTCTCTTCGGTCCAAAGCCTAAAAGCTCCTAGGGTTTCGGTCGCTTCCAAACTTTTCAAGGCCGTAGCCCACAGAAGATTCGAAGCACCATCAATAACGACCAAGGCAAGATAAGCACTATTGCCAAATTTGATTTCCTCATGGTCAACAAAAATGAGGTCTCCAAAAGATGAAGCTCGAAGCCCTGCGATTCTGGCTCGCGGAGGCGTAGGCGCGGAGGTGTTACAAATCCGGCAACCTTTGACAATGCGGTCGTACTTGTCGTAGATCTCTCCTAAACCAAGCATGCTGGTCCTGCGACGAAACTGAGCTGAACTCATGTGGTAATGCTTCACATGCAATTTGTACAACTCAACATCGTTGTTCAACTTTTCCAACATTCGCTTGTATTGCAGAGAGGCCCTTGACACCTCCTGACCTGGCAACGGAAGCGAAACCCTCCTAGGTTCTAGTGATGATTCCCTCGGAACTCTTGGCTGTTCAGGAAGATTCTTCTGAGCCTCCGGCTCGGAAGGCTCATAATCTTGAAGATCTGGATCATCCGCCGGAGCAGAATGGGAGCCTACCTTGGGTACCGATTCTGACGAACCGCTTCCCTTAGCTCTTGGCTCCACTCTTCCTGGTATGGGTGAGGTACTCGTCTTCGGAACGTACTTCTCCTTCCTCATCTTCTTGCGGATTCGTGCAAGTTCCATCTTTGACTCGTCTGTCACCCACTCATCATCCATCGCATACGCGTGTCCCCTAGGTTCCTCACCTAAAGGAGAGCTTCCTGGAGACACAGTGAAGAAAAGCCTCCTGTTGCTGTCTGGTGGAAGCCATACTCGCAGTGCGAGAAGCAGGTGAGAAAGCTGACTTTGCCCTTGGGCGCGAACCGCGCATTCCACATGAGACGGCATAGATCAAGTAGATCAAGAACAAGATGTGAGCTTGGTGCAACTCGTAGCTTCGCATTCTTGACTCCCAGAACGGAGCTGCTCAGCCATGCCTGCTCTGGAGAAAGACTGATCTGGAATCGATTGCGCGTCTGTGGCAAGGACATCAGTATGGGCACTGTGCCTTGCTCCACAATGTCAAACTCTGTGGACTGAACGATCGTACATGAACACGACCAACTTCTCGGAGCACTTTGTCGATTCAGAATTGGCAAAGGCAAACTGGGACGTCGTCTCAGCGATCTTGTACCAGATGCCACAGTAGGGATTGTTGTCACAGAGTGAGGTTCTGCGCGGAAGCCCTTGAAACCATCGCACGCGTGCATCCAAGATCCATAGCCATTGAGGCTGGAGTCAAAGGCTGTGCGAGGTAGGCTTCTCCAACGGAGGATGCCGTAAACGAATGGGCAATCGTTGCGCTGGAATTCTGGGCAGGCTCGTCGGCAAGGTTTGCAGTACCATCATTGGAGATCATCTTACGTCCATCTTTGCCTCCTTTGCCTTTGCATTTGCCCTTCTTCCCTTTCTTGCCTTTGCCCTTCGCGGCATACTCGTCCCAGGAAGCCTCTTGCCACTGCCAATCACTCTGCCAAGCATCGGATTGGGATTGATCATCGGCAAAATGAGATTTGTCCGGGCCTTTCTTTTTCTTGAAGAAGCGACGGCCGGTAGAGCCTTGCTCTTGCCTTTTCTTCGGCCCTTTGCTCCTCTCTTCATTCGTCTTCCTTGGACTTCCTTGGAAACGTCTCTGGAACCACGAATAGCTCGCATCGTCGTAGACCCAGAAAGCATCCTCATCTGCTTCGAGGAAACCTTCAGTGCCATCATCCTCGTCCTCGACCCAATATCCTTCGCTATTGTCCAGGTAGCCCTCGTCGAGTACCAAGAAGGTTTTTCTGCCACCATGTCCGGAAGGGGCGAGGAGAGGATTGTCGACGGAAGTCTTTGTGGTACAAAAGATTTCGAGGTAAACTTCACGTAGTTCCCCAAGGCCGTAATCTGCCAAAACTCTGTTTCGATGGGCCATCAGGGAAGTCAACACCTGTCTCTGATCCTGCGTCAGGTCCGAAAGGGACACAAAAACAAGTGCCACCAAATTCACCTCCTCGGGAGTGATTGTTTGTTGTTCTTCTTGGGGAAGAGACATAACATAGGCCCTGACCTCTGCGTTGTTCACGTCCATGATGGGAATGTAAGTGTCGTTCCAAGCTTCTTGCATTCTGTTCAGAGAGAGTTGAAACCTGGTAATCCAACGAAGCATGTCGCCACTGCCACGGTGCAAGTTCATGAACTGCTGGAAGCGGTACAGGAAAACATTGGCCGCTCCTCTCAGAAGCCTCTTGTGAATTGCTGCTTCACCTTCTAGACGGTTTCGCAGGGCAGGTCCTTCTTTGGCTCCCTCTAGCTCTGTGATATCGCGCCAGTCATCGATTGCATCTTCAGAGGCAAACCAACTACTTCGCCCATCACACGACGGCGGTACCTTTGTGGTCACCTGCTGGAATGACGAAAGACGGTGCAACTCTTCTAAGTGTCTGTTTCTGTTCACTGCGTAGCTCTCATGGAGGTATTCATCCTCATCTCCATGGTCTGTCTCATAAGGCGCAGCAGTGTGGCTAGCCATGGCTCTGTACCTTGGATCGGATCGAGCCCCGGAAGTTCCTCTTCCGCTTATCTTCACTAATGTGAGGTAAGCCGGAGATGCTTCTGTTACCTTCACAAATGTGAAGCACACCGGGTATCCCGGGAGCTCCGCTATAACCTGTGCGTGCAGACCCTCGCCTAATGCATGCAGGCCTACAGGCAACACAGGAGTCTCTTTGCTACAGGCGCACAACTGTAGTCAGACTGCTAGGCTAGATTGCTAGAACCTTGAGCAGCAAACATGGAAACATGCATTGTGACAAGTGAGACTGACAGGCACCTGGATGTGTAACATCAGTGTTTCACCCCTCCCCCCCTCCCCCCCCCTTCCCCCCCTCTGTGTGTGTCAGTGTGTCAGTGTGTCAGTGTGTCAGTGTGTCAGTGTGTCAGTGTGTCAGTGTGTCAGTGTGTCAGTATGTGTGTCAGTGTGTGTTGCGAATGGGGGGGGGGGGCCTGTTTTTCTTAGGAAAAACCAAGAACACAAACCCAAAAAACTATTCGAAGAAATCCTACGAAAAGTATCATGAATCCTATGAAAATATGGATGGAATGTAGCTGTTTCCGGCGTGCTGAATCCTATGGAAATATAGCGGGAATGTAGCCTTTTCCTGGGAAAAGGCAAGAAAACGAGCCAAAAAGAAAGAATAGAACAATTTGGAATGCGCACGGCGCCTAGGCGAGAGCGACAGGGCCGCGCGGAAGCACCCAGAGGGTCGTCGTTCAGGAATTGGGATGCGCACGCGGCCTGAGCCAAAAGCCCCAACCAAAAAAAAAACCCAGAAAAAGAGATATTCCTTATTTAATTCTGTGCCCGTTGCAAAGAAGCGCTCATGGGCTTGTGGCTGCTTGGGGCCCGCTTATACGTTCGCTTTCAAACGACTGCAGGTGGGCCATTCAGAGTCTGCCACAAGGATTGATCACATGTTTGTGGTGTTGTGCGTGTGCGTGTGCGTGTGCGTGTGCGTGTGCGTGTGGGTGTGGGTGTGCGTGTGCGTGTGCGTGTGGGTGTGGGTGGGTGTGTGTGTGTGTGTGTGTGTGTGTGTGTGTGTGTGTGTGTGTGTGTGTGTGTGTGTGTGTGTGTGTGTGTGTGTGTGTGTGTGTGGGTGGGTTTGTGGGTTTGTGGGTGTGTGGGTGTGTGGGTGGGCTCCCGGGCTCCTCTCAGACCAGACACATGTGGGACCAGCCACAACTGACAAAATTCGATCCACGTTACGACGCCTTCCCTGCTGCATGGGAAGAAACTCCTGGCTCCTTAACACCCCTGTATTCCGTGGTACCACGGTTGTTTTGGCGGCCCTTATGTCAAGAGGACCTTGGGCATTCAGGCCTTTTCCCCCCAGTGGGAGGGGCACTTCGAAGCTTCAGCGACGCCTCAGCCACAAGCCACTCCACATATCTGCCCAGTTCGGTTGTCGCGCGTTGTTGTGGAAGAGCACCGAAGACCCTTTCAAGCAATTTGCAATTTGCAACAGACGAGGCCATGGCATTGTTTCACTCTTCCACAACAGCTCTGAGTCGCCTCTGCCAGGATTACACCTTGGATGCACCCGTGGTGCCGATGGCCGCAGCCAAAGTGCGATGAAGATTTGCGATGTGTCGCTGCTGGCGTTGTCGCTGCTGGCATCGCAACGAATACCTCGGAGTAATTAGGTGCTGGGGAAGAGCACCTACGCTGCGATTCCCACAAGGACCAAAAACGAGTGCAACAGCCGACACCCTCCTTTGTTGTCGCTGAGCTGTGCGAAGCCGAGCGCACTGAATCTTTGCGGGACAGGCTTGCACCTGGCCAGGGCCCGTAAGCGCCCCCACGTTTATCGGGTTTTCGCTGCCTTTTGCTTTGGCCATTGCTTATCTTTTCTTCCTATTCACCCAAGTTGGCAGAATTTGCCACATTTTTGGTACGTTTCGCTGCCAGGATGAACATCCCAACGCACTGCCTCTGTGACCACATCTACCTGCGCGAGCGGGGCGACGACGCTCCATTTGTGGCTCACGTCCCAGCTAGTCGTCGAAAGCCCTGCGAAAGTCGGACTGGAATTGCTTCGAAAGGTTGCGGTTACGCACCGCTACGGCCAAAAGTACTCTACAACTGCCAGGGCCCATACTTTAGTGAGTTGCACGAGGTACGTGCTATGAACCCCAAAGCCAGCTTGGGAGGTCTACGTGGCTCGGAGTAGCTTTGGGGACTCGGAAAGGCGGCTGTTAGTGTTGTGCTTCCACCTGTGCTTCTTTTTGATCTGCCAGGACTTCGCCCACTGGTCCGGAACCCATGTGCACCGGTGTGTGCAGCCTTGACTTCTCTGACCACATGCCAGGCTTCAACCCTTTGAAAGCCGCCATTCGCCGCACTGCGAAATGCAGTGTCTGAGAGTGGAAGTGATGCCAGCTGAGACAAAGGTTTGAAACTTGTGCCACGTGATGGCTTTGCGATGTTATTGTTCCGACGCGAGACAGTTGTCTTCCAAGCCGAAGCTCAGAAGCAAAAGCCTGAGGCGGTCTCTTGACGGTCATTTCCATGCTAATTGCAGGGCACCCCGCCCACGCCACGTGAACCAGCAAACTGAGAATGACAACAGTGGAGTTGCAAGTTCCCTGACTGCTGGGGTACCGGCCGTGGAGCTTTTTGGTTCCAAGCCTTTTTTTTGTGGCTTGGCAAGCCATGTGACCTGGGGAGGCGCAAACGAGCTTTTTGGTGTTTTCTTTTTTTCGTGGGGGGGCCCCAGGCCTTGGAGGCCGGGGTAATCTGGTTTTTTGTTGGGGGTCTCAAACCATTCGTTCATGCCATTCGTGTCGTGGTAAAACGTTTTTTTCGGGGGGGAGTCGCAGATGAGGGCGGGGTGGTTCCAGGTGAGGGGGTCCGGGAACGGGGGGAGTTGCCAGGATGAACGGATGGCGGGAGCAAGGCTTTTTTCAGTTTAACAAGCCATTTTGCAAGAACTATCCGGTCCATGCACAGGGCTTCCCCGGCGCTCGACCCCAAGAGCAGGGTCGGCGGATTAGGGGGCATTCTTCTCAGCTCACTGAAGCACGAACGTCAGGACGTCGGAGGGAAGGGCCACCGGGGTTTCTGCACCATCTTGTGGAGATCAGTCGCAGTCTCAGGCATAGTAAAAACAAACTCGCGGCGACTCCAGGCCAACAAACGGGTTAGAACCATGAGCAGCCGCCTCTTGTGTTGGCCATCGCTTGTCCGCTTATCTGCCAGGTCCCTCCAACCTGTGCCGTAGGAGTGGCTGATGCGGCAAAGCTCGGCTGGTTGTGGAGCGTGAGCGTCGAAACCCCTAGACCTCAAACCCCTCTCAAAGACAGCTTTTCGGGGTTTGGGGTGCAGGTGCTCGAGGGTTCGTCTTCTTGTTGAGGGTATTTGGGTTTAAGGATTCAGGGCTGTGCGCTTTTTTAGGCTCTAGGAGTGAGGCGCTTCATCTTCTGGAGGCACGCGGGCCCGGGAACTTGTCGGACTTTTCTTTGGGCGCTGTTGTTGCGTTTGTTGGTATCCCCCACCTTTGCACCCCCGCCCCCTCAAACAAAACAACAGCCTCAGAGTCAAGAGAATTGAGCCAAGGAGACGTGTCCCACTGCGATGCACCCCCTCAGCTTGTATTGGGCCTTGTCAGATATGGTTTGCTTCACTATGCTTGAAAGAAAACGAGTTTTTGGTTTGTTTTCTTGTGATTCTCCCAGGTGTCCAAGTCCAGTGAGGTCTCTCAAGTTCGGGTCTTCCTACGGAAGGGCTTACAGTGTTGAGCGGGTTTTTCGGGCTTTAGGGCTTTTAGGGCTTAAGGCCTAAACCTTAATTCCTCAACCCTATTCCTTGCACCCCTCCCCCTGAGCCTTGATTTGAGTCGCTCCTTTCTAGGAGCCGCCAACAGGCCTGACCCTCCATGGCATCGGTTTGCAGCTCCTCCAAAGCGGCTTTGGTGGGGGGGTCCCACAGAACAAGGGGGTGGCGGCCAGGAAGGAGCCCGATACCCGTTGACAATTGCAAGTCTCTTTCGCGCTCTCTTGTCTCTCTCGTCTCTCTCGTTTCGCTCGTCTCTCTCGTCTCTCTTGTCTCTCTCGTCGCTCTCGTCTCTCTCTCGAAGCAGTGCCACATCACGTTCCTTGTTGCTTCCGACGCTTCAATCGCAGCGCTCAAGTTTAGGTTGCGTTCTGCTGGGTCTGTTGCGTTTTTTGCTGTAAGGGAATGGGTTCGGGGCCTGTTCCAAAATAATAGGTCGTCTGGTTGAGTTTCCGGTGGTGGTGTGTGGGCTTTTGGCAAAAAGGGTATGGGTTCGAGTCCGTGATATGGCCCAGGGGGGGTTGCGGTAAGAAGATGGCTCCCCCTCCCCCCCTCCCCGTTCTCCTTTCTGTTTTTTCTGGTCAGCCGCACATGTGGGTCGCATCAGCACTCCCCCAATGGCCACAGCGGTGCTCTAAGCACTTTGGCTTTTTGTGTTTTCTCGATGTGAGCTTCCAAGCGCTAGTTCACGGTTACGAGGATTTCCAGCGGCATGGCAGCTTTGATCCTTGTTTCTCGCAAAGGCACAGCGAATGTTTCCTTTTGGGCTCAACGAGGGCAATCGCTCAATAGTAGGGGTACAGTTGAGCTTCGGCTCGGGCTGACCTCTGCATGGATTGAAATGGACTACTTTGCCATCGGTGGCAAGCCTTTCTTGTCAGCTCCTGAGTTAGAAGTTTAGAAGACCTCGACGTTAATGTCGTTGGAAGGAGTGGGGACTTAGCATGAGGTCAAGATTTCCTCCACATATTCCCGGCATCTTCAACAATCCCGCACAGGTTGGAGCCTGCATTCGATCAGTAGGGTCCAACAGGGTCAAAGGGACATGGAAGCGCCTGATTCCGAGGATCAGAGCGGCCAGGACTTGGCTTGCTTTCATCGTAGTGACATGATCTTTGCAAAATGTCTCCTTCTTTGAAGTTCTTGCATTTTCCAGGAGCCACCCATTCCAGAGGCCCTTAGATTTTCTTTTCGTGACTGGCTCCGCTGTCTTGCAGCAAGAGTCTGTCCAGGAGAGCCAAATCGTGGATGGCCATGCCCTCCAGGCCCTTCAGGCTCGTGCTTGTGCATTTCATGGACGCTCCGCTCTTTGTTTCTGCCTCTCTCTCCTTTCTCCCTCCGCCTCTCACTCTGTCTCTCCTTCTCTCCTTCTATCTCTCTGTCTCTCTCTGTCTCTCTCTGTCTCTCTCTGTCTCTGCGTCTGCTGTGACCCGAGGTATTTCAGAAGGCCCATGCCAAGTTTCAAGAGGCCCAAGCGAGAGAGACGGAGAGAGCGAGAGAGAGAGAGGGAGAGCGCGAGAGCAAAGCTGTTGTTTCGTGGAGCGAGTGGACGGAAAGGTTCAGGCAGCAATGGCCGCTGACCCGGCCAGCTATCGGACCTCGGGAGGCCCACTTCGCTCTCGGCGCTGCTTCACATCTTGGCGACAGTATACTTGTTTCTTGTCTCGCCGCTCTGTAGGGAATGGTGAGTGCCCTGCAAAGAGAGAATGGCGCAGAGAGAGACGGGGAGCGAGAGCGCGAGCATCAAGCCCTGCAGAAGAAGCAGCACAAGAAGAGGAGTCAGAGAGCAGAAGGCCCGGGCGAAGAAGAAGGAGTAGAAGAAGCAGAGAGAGATATCAAGTCTGGGGAAAACGGGAGCCGAGAATCCGGTGAGTACACTCGGGCCGAACACAATCGGAGCACGGCCATCTGTGCCTTGAAGGGGTGGCCTGCAAAGCCGCCATCGGCCCAACGGACATGCGCACAAGAGCGTGCATTCTGAGGAGGGACGTCAAGAAAGGCCACCGATGGGATGAGTTCTCGGCAAATACCCTTCAAGGGGGGTACCAGGAGCGAGCGAAAGAGGGTTTCCATTACGTCTGGTATCTCAACGCCCAGCAACCCCAGGACGAGAAGTGACGAGAGTAGAGGCAGAGGGGGGGGGGGGGGCGAAATGTAGCGGGAGGGGGGATGACCCTGCGCTTCCTCTGATGAGAAGCCCAGATCGTGGGCCCAGTGCCTGTGATATCGTACTTTTCGTTTTCCGCACCATGGCGTTCCTACTTTCAATTTTGATGCCTGGGGTGCGCTGCGGTGCCCGGAATCTTTCGGGGTGGTACGGTGTTCGCGAGTGCCGACCACCTCGGTGTGTTTGTTTTTGTGTCGCCTCCGCGATTTGCTTTATCATATTTTTCATTTTTGTGGTTTAACCGCGGTGCACGGCACGAATTTTGTTGCGCCAACAATGACCCGAACATTTTTTTCATTGGCAGCAGCGACAGCACTATCGCAACGCCGGAGCTTGGGTTGCGATTCGTGGGTTAGATTCTGAAAGCGTCCGGACTGGTCACAACCCCCCCCCCCCCCCCTTGGAACGGAACTTGGCGAGCCCGTGACGCTTTTCACATGTCGGAAACATGTCGCGTTGCATTGTCTGGTATGGCTGTCGTGTCCTACCCGAAAAGCATGCAAGCACGCCACAAAGAGTGTGGGCTCGTTTTCGTGTCTTGAAGCATATGAAAACGGGACCTACGGAAACATCGTACATCCAAACACCCCCGTCCCTGGACCTTCATCGTGGCTGCATCGTTAAATGATTGCCCGGCCACTGCTTGTGACTTATGCCAGCTTATTCAGGCAGAATGGAAAATGACTCAGCACGATTTGATGCTGGACCAGAAGGGAGCTGCATGCCAGCAGCAAGCATTGCTGTGCCTTCTGTGCCTCATGACCCAGCTTCACACCTCAAGAAACTGGTGCCTCATGAACACTAGACATGCGCGCATTAGTTCGCTCAACTGCTAACAGCTTCGTCCTTCGGAAGCGGACATTGAGGCACTGTAATGCTGCTGACAATTGCTACCTAGTGCTCGTTCGCGGAGCGGTATTCAAAGGGCACGCCTCAATCCAGTGGTGGCTAAGCATAAGAAGTGAAACGCTGACCGCACAACGCTTTTTCGGAACAGGTGCGGCATCCTCCTATTCCTATGGGTCACGACTGACAAATCCTTACCCGGCACCTTGGCTGACAGCAACTGGGTGGTTTCCTTGTCACACGCTGCGTGCTCCCGAGAGGATTCTGAATCCGACGACCTCGCGCTGGCCTCAGAGAAAGTAAGAGCTTCGCAAGCGCGTGTTCGGTCGCAGACTCAAAAGTTGTGACCTTGGAGAGGATGACGTGGACGACGGACATGTCAAAGCCCCGAAAGCGCTTCATCAAGGCTACGATTCCAAAGAGGCCCCCCATGAGATTTTCAGAGTCAGAAATGTCAGACGGGACGGCTGCATAAGCCGCATGAGGAGCCGTGTTCCGTTTACCTTTCTTGTAATAGTACTATAGCGGCCGAGAAATTTATTTTTACATTATGAGGGCCGCAATAACTCGTGCGTCTCTTCGTTCCTTACAATTTAACAATTTAATAATGTAAACTTATATGGTCTTTAAGGTCAACCATAAGCCCCTGTTAATGGTTTTCTTCTCTCACCGTATTATCTTGACAGGTTAGCTTCTTTCAACAGGCTTTTGGTATCACCCCCAAGGGTCTATATCTTATAAGGCTTGGTGAACGTGTATCTGCGTGCTCACTACTTTATTGTTATTGCACGCGTAATATGAGCTATAATGTAATATCTTGGTTAGTTTCGTTCACATTTTAATTTACTTCACGCGTTCGTTCATTGTATTCACTCCTTGTAAGTCAGTTCGTACTTCGCTCATACATTCACGCACTAACATTCACGCACTAATCGTAAAATCACGCGTATTCACTTGCATTATTACTATTTAATGCGTTCTTTGGTTTCGTTCTCGCATTGGCTAAGTTCACACATGAGCCGCATTTGCCTTGCACACCTTGTTTCGCACGCTCTGGTTGCAGGTGCGGGACTGGCCCTCGAGCCGCTTCGAGGCCTGGTTTTGGTTGTGACTGCTTCGTGACTATTGACAGCCACATGAGCCACACGGAGGTCATTAGAAAGCTGCAGGATGCCACCCGAAACCGGGGACAGGCGTGTCGGACTATTGACATCATGAGATCTGCCTGCAGAGTCCGTGCGCGAGGTCGTGCTCATGAAAGACAAAGATGACAACAGGTTAGTTGCAGCCACTGAGAGCGCAAAAAAGTCACAAGCGGACTGTGCTCTCTAGTTTGTAGCCATCACAGTTTTGCCGGGACGTCTCTTGTGTTTTTCTAAGGTGAAAATCATGCCGAACAGGCACCGCGCCATTGCTTTGCAGTGAATGCTTCTCATGCTTGTGCCTCGTGATTGTGCAACCCTTCCTCTCAGAAAGGCTCTTCGTGTTCTAAACATCACTTCTCCGGGCTCCGGGTGCTGACGAAAAAAAGCCTGCCGAAGAAGAGCCAGAAAATGGGATGCTACACAAGGGGCACTGAGTGGGGACTTTTTTTTAGGTGTTTTTTTCTTTTTTCTCTCGTTCGGGGGCTTTCGTAAGAACGCTCTCTCGTGCCCCTGTGCAGTCTCCTAAACGTCAGGCCGAAGAACCCGCAAGCCCCGACTCAGGCTTATGGGGACTCGTGAAAACCAAGATCTCATCGAGGCAATTTCTCTGACTTTGGCCCTGATTCTTTGATGTTTTGCTTTGTATTTGACGAAAACGGGGAGGAGGTTTGACGCGGCAAGTGCAAGCGGGAGAAGGGAGGGAGCCCTCGATTTGCTGAACAAGCGTGGGAGTGAGAGTCAGCAGCCAGATGCCATGAGAATCCAAAAGGGCCTTGCTGTGGGTGTTTTTTTCCGGGCCGCCCCGGAGTGAGTGATGTGAGAATTTCTGGGAGAATCCATGAGAGCAGTGCGGTGCAAGCGACATGGTACACGTACTTGTCTACAGGTGGGTTGGCACTAGCCACACGAACTTCGTCATCGACCACCCATCGGAGACGGAGCTACCGTGGCAGGACCAAAAAGCTCTGCTCAGGGTTTTTCGGTTGAATTGATGAACCTGTCAGAAGCCTGTCAAATGCGTCTACGAGTGATCTGAAGTGCAACATGAAACTCATCGCTTCACGCGCCAGGACCTTGGATGTGTAAGATTCTTGAACGACGTGGGATTCCCTTACGCCTGCGAATTGCTGGGTGTCTACCGGGACGTGGAGCACACATATGCCGCTTCCTCAGAATCCCAGATCCCATAGAATGCATGCGAGGGAGAAGTGCAAAATGGCAGAATTGGTTAGATGATTGGCACTTTTCGGAACATAAGCTTCTTGTGACCGCTTCTGCTGCAGTAGAGAGAAACGAGCCATGTCTCATAGAAACATGGCAATGTGAATCAGTGGGTAGTTGCAGAGCTTCGCGTCAGCCAGGTTGTAACAACCTTTGCGACAGAAGGGGACCTGTTCTCCTGGTGCGAGGCTTCTGGCGCTCGCGCAAGCGCATGCACGGGATGCACATAGCAGATGCCATGGCCACTACATGGAGCCCCGGACAGGGTGGCGTAGCGCCAGGACACGAAAGGGAGATAGTGCTGGGCTCAGAAACTTTCACAGTGCCTCCGGCTCTTTGGTGCATGGGGGGTTCCTTTCACAGGTAGTTCAGCCCATCGCTCGCCAGCTGATGGAGGGCATCCAACAGCTGCACGACTTTGGCATCGTGTGGACCTTTGGGCACGTAGCGGGCAGTGATCCTAAGCGCCATGGAGGTGCCTCTGCATCACGCCTGTGATGAGGTGCACCGCGATCTCTCCTTGGAAAATGTGCTGATGACAAAGACAGATAGCCATGCTCCCAACTTTTTCTCAGACATTGTGTCAGAATTGGAGAACAGGAATAAAGACCTGATGTCTCGGATTAAGGTGATGTACACATCATAAAGATCATCGACTTTAGCATGGCCTCCACAGCGAGGTCCTTCAGGACTGCTACCAGTAAAGAGCACCACGTGAATGAGCCTTTGCTTCTTTCACGGCGCTGTCCTGGCCAGGAACTGTATAAGAGGGAAGGCATCGTACCAGGCCGCAGAGCATCAATTGTGGGGTACTCAACGTACTCGCCTAGAGTGGGCATGGCTACAGGCGCCGGAGCTTCACACGGACCAGGAGTACGATGCATACCTCACTGATGCCTTTTCCGTAGGCAAGGTTGTATTGCAGATTCGTGAGAAGTTTAGCTGGCGCCCATCTGGCACTTCGTGTACCAGGCGTAACGCTTTATGCTGTGCTGTTGAAGGACGGCCGCTCTCAAGTTGTGACATACCAGGATGTCTGATTACGCATGTTGAAGCGCAGGACTACCCCTGGTTGTCCACTCGACCTGGTGGCTGCAAGTGCTTCGAGTACGTCAAGAAGCATGGTTTTCGCGCGTGCCCTCGCCGCAATATGCGTCTCGGGGTTTAGCGGTTCGCCTGTTCACCCCTTTGACCTTTCAGTCTTTGTACCTGTCGTGGCCTCGTCTTCCATCTACGCATGGTGACCCTGGCCGTCGCTATACTCGGGTCAAACGTCCGCGCAGAAGTGCCAGCAATCCAAACATGTCTCCATCTCGACAGGGCGACGCACTCAATGCATGTAATTTGGCCGCCGACCTGGCTCTGGGCTTGGCCGGAAACCCCACAGATGTAAGAATCAGAAACATGCTTCGACCAGCTCCGCCCTCTGGAGCCGTCCCACTTGGGCGAACTGTCGAGATGGCGCACATGACGAGGGGCATCAAAAACAGCCGCGAAACAACTGAATTTGCCAAAGCAGGCCTTACCAAACCATCACGGAGCCGGCAATGAGGGCAGGGACTGTCTGCGGCCGTCTGTTGGGGTATTGGGCTAGATTGGGCAAAGACCCAGAAAGCCCGAGACTCTAAACCCCAAACGTGAGAACTAATACCAAAACAACTCAAACCCCAAGGTCTGCTTTCGTGCCGTGCGGGCACAAGGTACCCCGATGGCAAAAAGGATGGCGGCATTTTCTCGTTCACTTCCAGCTGTCGCGTGGTCGTTCACGCTGTCGCATCAGCCTCTTCAACTCTCTAGGGTGACTCATGTGACTCCCTGGGCACTGCCTGCACTGCCTCTCTGACTCTGAGGTATTTGGGGAAGCGCAAGCTCAGGAACAGCACACAGAGAGCAGCGGCCCTGCCTCTTCTGGGAGCTGCAAGCTCTTGCTTGACAGTGTCCTTCGTTTCAGGTTGTGGAGTTCATGTCTGAGCCACTGGTGTCCCTGCTTGAAGGCTGTGTCAGAGCATGATCATGTGTAACAGATGCGTCACGGTGCTAAGCCTAGGTATCATACAGAGTGCATCACTCGTGTGCTGCCTTATGCTCTTCTTTCTGGCGTAGGCTTGCTGACGTTTGAACCGAGCGAGCGGTGCCGGCCCCGGCTCTGTGACATCTCCCGCAGCAGAAGTGCCCAAGAGCGCGAAGACGGGCTGCAGTTCCGGCTCTGCAGGCTGACGTTGGGAGAGCGGAAGTGGGGCAACTCCAGACCGTGCGGAACTCACAGCCGCCGTGGCACGGGCTGGGCCGGGCGCAGGGCGCAGGGCGGACGGGCAGGGCGGGGGGTGGCGCGCAGGGCCGAGCAGGCCTGGGCTTCATTTTGCTTCGATGGCACCTCTCACTCTGACCGCATTGCTTAGGTCGGTTTGGGACCTATCCTGGCTTCATGAAGGCAAGCGGCAAGTTGCGTAAGCTTGCTGGGAGCTGAAAGGCTGAAAGACATCTGCAAATGTCTGCAAGTGCCCAGCCACAGCATGCACCTTGACAAGCACAGGACCTGGGAAGCCCTGAACCGAGCCTTCGGCTGCAATCTATCTCACGGCAAGGAGCCGAGCAAGCAGCAAATGCCTGGAATCGGTGGCAAGCCGATGTATTCATTTCAGGCAAGTAAAGGCACATTTAGGACAGCATCGCTGTTGCCTGCGTGACCTGAACGGCTGTGATGATTATATAGTGGCCACCGACAACAGTTGGAGTTTCACCCTGAGGCATGCTACGTTCCTGCCATGCGCCGTTGACCCTGTTGTACCTCCGCAGACTTTACATCATTTCCTTCAAGCCAGAAGAAAACGTATTGTTGTTTAGCCAACTGAGCATTTGTTCAATCCGTCCGAAGCTGACCTCGCGCTTGGCCGTTTCAAGCTTCGTGCTTTTTGGCAAGATGCTGCGCGGAGAGTGAAAGGTGTGGGAAGAGTGGACAGAGACTCATACTGCATCGTGCAACAATGGTGGGATGTAAACTTCGCGCCGTACGCACGTACATACACGCATACACGTATACACTCATGCAACCTCCCGTGAGTATCAACTGCTTTCATCAACTCAGAGATAGGTGAAGCCGCTGCGGCTGATCGACCTGTAGAGGTTTGTGAGGGGCATCTTTCGTATTCGCAGCTTATGCATTTTTGTTCAGTTGTAGCACGATTGTCTTCTCTTCCATATACTTCCGATTGCAGATGAAGAAACATCGCGACAAGCGAAAGGTGAGATTGCAGGTACCCTGGAATGATCAGCTCCCATTTCCTGGCCTTCCAGCACAGAGCTTTGTTGGCAGAGCCTGTGCTAGGGCTCCCTCTGCTGATTGGTTAGAAAATCGATATAAACGTGCCATTCTCATCGCATGAGACATACGGAGACCGGACGTCCGTAACAAAATGGGTCTTCGGTCTTGTCAATGCTCATAAATAAGACCCGAAAAGTTGGGGTAAGAAAATGGCACTCTTTAGGCATGCATAAGACGTGGAACCAGGCATAAAACGGCTGATTCAAAGTTCACGCTCCTCAGCCGAAGCGAAAGCATGCATGCTCCAGGGATTGGACAATGCCTTGCTCAATCTCACAGTCTTAGTCACACGCAAAAACCTTGGCACACAGGCGTCCGCACACACGTACATATACATACGCCACATACATACTTACCTGCAATTCGCATACATACTTACGTAGTTGCGTGCTTGTGTGCCTGCGTGCTTAAGCCGCGCACACCCCTTCGGGGATGGATTTCGACTGAGGCTGCTACGTCTTTGTGTCTTTTTCCTTGGCTGTGCTTGGGCCGATGCAGCCTTGAACATGTCGTTTCGGTGCTTGTGCAGGTTTGACGTTCGGTTCGGATTCCCGTTGTTGTGCGAGCGCGAAATGAACTGTACGTTCAGGTTGTCTATGCTTGTTCATGTTTTTTTGCCCTGTTTGTGGTCACCCGGACCCCCGCCCCCTTTGGGGTCGCGTTCCCCCACACACATGAGAAGCTCAGGCTTCGGGTTTGGGGTGTTCAGGCCAGCGGTTGGGGCAGCTTCTCAATTCAGCTGGGGGCTAGTGGTTCGACCTGAGGCGGGATTACGAGCTTTCGGGTTTTTGGGTTTTACAAGAGAGTTTACGAGTGCTCAGGGCTCGGACAAAGAAGGGAAAGATGGGAAAGCAAGCAACAGCACGCTGGTTAACGGTTTGAGGCTCAACGTTTACGGTTCTTCCAGAATGAACGCAACGACAACCTCAACCTCCACAGCCCTGATCCCTAAGCGTTCTCTCTGGCTGATCAGCAGCTGACGTACTGCAACGCCACTGGCCATCAGCTTTAGAAGTGGCAGTTAACGCACATGATAATAACCCTGCGAGTGACTGCTACCATAGACGGGAAACATGTCTAAACCCTAAACCCCAAGCCCTAGAACCTGAATCAACCGAACCCTGCTCGAAGTCCTTCACCTTCTCCAAACCCTGAATTCTGCAATGGTGCATAAATTGCATCAACGGCAGCGTTCAAGCTCCTGTGTCCACACAAGTTCGCGGCCACCAAGCGAAGGCCGGAGTGCGGCAGCGAGTAAGAAGTAAGAACTGAGAAGAATCTCTTTGCCATCTCTTTGCCTCTGCCCCACGGCAAGGCGCACCGTCCCTCTGAATGATGCCTCTAGTGATGCCTAGGGTCTGCGAGGGGCCGACGGGCTCCAAAACTTCGACGGGGGCGGCTGATGCGGCCGACCAGCGCAGTCTGGCGCGCAGCACTCGAGAACAAAAGGTGGAAGCGAAAAGCAATTCTACCGATACCAGCCCGGTCTTATGCCCAAGGCCACAGCATGTCATAAGCCCCGTAGCGCGCACTTCATCTCGAGTTCCTAGATTACTTTAGACACTTTTAGCGTAGTTAGTTCCAGCTTGATAGAGTTAGCTAGGGAAGCGTTTGGAAAATCCTAGAGCTGACAATGTTGTGTGACAACTTCTTTAACCCCAAAGGCCTTCACGGAACGGCTCGAGTGGAGTTGGGGAGCCCCCCCAAGTGAACAAGATTGAACAGGAGAACCCCTCCTCATCCCTGCAGAGTGGAGTGATGCCCTTTGTGACTCATCACAGCCCATCACGAATCCACGTCGTCAACCTAGCAGACCTAGGAGTTTGTCGAGACCCTTGCACCTCCCATCTTCGGACTGGGCCTTTCCGTGACTTCCCCTTTCCTCAGCACTCGCTTAGCCTTCATGATCTTGAAGCTCGGTGATTTGAGCAATGCTGGTTTAGAGAAACAGATGTACCAGACACTTTGGTGTGCGACCGCTGCCTCGTCAAGCCCACAGCGGACCATTGCAATAGCAAGAAGGCAACCATGGAAGCAAAAGAAATCAACAACTCTGAGACGAACGGCGCAACAAACGGAAATACGGAACCCTGCACACAGCGACACTCCCTCATTCTAAAGCCGTGAATGCGAGCAAGATGTTCTCCAAGTTCGCAGAGCTCGAAGGTTCATCGGAGGCCAGTCTCATCAAAGTTTGCGCATTTCAGGGACGTGGAGCTTGACAGCTCGGGGGGCTGCCCTGCGTGCTGGTTGTTCTTGGCGGTGCTGGGCTCCATGGTGGCTGGGGATTTTTTTTGCCCCCATTCTTTTTTGCGGGGGCCTTTTCTTTTTCGTGGTGTGCGAGGGAGCACAGAAGGAATTGCAAGTCTGCGGCGGGGAGGGGTGGGGGTGGGGGGGGGTGGGCGTTCTGCCGCCGGATCCGGGGTCCAGAATTAGGGGAGCGGATTAAGCCGTGCCAGTGCAAGCTTGTCTTTTCGAAACCCATGCTGCAAGCATGGTGTCTGCAGATGGGGGGGCTGCCGCCTGCCCCCGCTTGTTTAAGCCGAGCGTGCTTCAAAGCATATGAACATATATGAACCTTGTTGAAGCCCATCAAGCGAGCATTGTGTTGCAAATGAGCGGGGCTGATTGTGGCCTGTTGCTGTTGTGGCCAAGTCAGCATAGTGGGTGGGCAACATAAGTGCTTGCCATGCTCTGAAACGTGGCTGTTTGTCATGGGATGCGTTGCGACAAACGACAGTGGAGTGCGAAAGATGCCCTCGCCAGTGTCTCCTTGTGTGCAAAAGCAGATCTTTGACATTGATGCATTGAAGCCTACGGAGGTGGCAGAGCGCCACAATCATGCGCCGCGCATTCAGCAGCGCTGAGGAGACAGTGGATGCCATGGAGAAGGACTCGGTTGCGCGGTTGCGCGGTGCTGCCGCAACACCTCAGCCATACATCGCTGCACACGCTGTTGCTGGGACCTGCTGCACGAAATCTAGTGGGAGGATATCCATGCACCAGCTGTCGAGTCCCCATCGAATTTGTTCTGAAGAGCTCCAGTGAAGTCAGGGCCGTTTGGGCCGGCGCTCAGGTTCTCATGTCGAGGACTTCCTTGGAGAGGCGGCCAAGCGTCCAGGGTGGCTTTCTAGACCAGACGTTCAATGATTCAATACCTCTCGTGTAGGGTGTGCTATGACTTGCCTGAGGGTTGCGTGATGTTGGGCGGGACACAGCAACCAAACGCCTGTCCGGCCCCTGGACGAACACCGACAGAAGCTGCTGTGACATTGCCGGCCACGGCCACCACTAATTGGCGTTGCCCCACTTGCCCCATTTGCTTTTCCAACCCGGCTGTCTTTGAGGCAGGCTTGTGGCTGGAGCCAGTGCCGCGTGTCAAACCTTTTAAGTCTTAAGTGAACTTGCTTCCCTCGCCTCCTCCACCTCTCCCACTTCCCCCACCTCGCTGAATCCAGCAAGCGACTCAAGTGGCAGAAAACAGCGGTGCAGGCAGGTTTGCACGACTGCACTATGACACAAAATCCGAAACGACATGGGGGGATTGTCGGGCAGGACGCGGCGGGTTGGCCGTACCGCAGTTTCATTGTTCGAGCGTGCTCGCAAGTATATAATGCAACATCGTCCACATTCGTGCAAAGAGGACTTCAGAAGGACCATTTGGCAACACATGCGGTTCAAAGATGTTGTGAAAGCATCCTGCGTGGAAACCCTTGCTGGGTTGTGTACTGCAGCAGCCGTGCAGCATTCTGCAACAGCTTCGACTGTTTTTTGCAGAATGCTTCCTTGTGGCACTTCGGCCAAGGATGTCTTGTAGGTCGTTGGTACAACGACAGAGGTGGAGTCTGAGGGTCTTCCAATGTGGTACCTCCAGCGCTCGCGTGTCATTGTATGTCTCAAGAGTTCCATGACAATTGACAATGTGCAGCTGCAGTCTCCAAAACACATCGGAGCTCTGCAAAGTGAACTCTCCATGCCTCCACAAAGTTTCAACCTTGCGTCGAAACGTCACAAGAGGTAAAGCTGTATACACCATGAACTGGCAGAAGTGCTCAGCACTCAAAGTTGCTGGTACTCCAGGCAACAAAGTCTGCAACAACTGCGCAAAAGTGGTGTAGCGAATAAGGAAAAGTTCTGGAGGTGTCCAAAATCCCGGGTGACTGCGACCTGGGAAAAGTACCTCAAACACCTCTGGCAAAGTTTCCAGGTTCCCCACCGGGATCGACCTGAAAGTCTCACCAATTTTCCAAAGTTGCTCCACCTGGCGACCATCTGCCAGGATCTGCGCAAAGTCGCTCGGCTGAAAAGTGCGAACGAAACTGCTAAAGTCAGCCAGCATCCGAGGAAAGGCAGCTGGGAAAGTTGCTGCATGCCCAACCTCAAACTGTCTGCGGGCAGCCAAAGTGCGTGGGCTCGATGGCTGCTTTGGCGGCATCTCAAAGTCTTGCTTGGATGCGCTCTGGCGCTCGCCAGGGCCACAGGATCAAAGTCCAGACCCAAAGATATTTCAGCCTCGCTCGGCTTCTCACAAAGTCCTCTTGGAGAATGCCCTTGCTGATCTCCAAAAGTTTGACTTCACCGCGCGTGGCAAATGGAAAGTCAAGGGCCCTTTCCACTGCTGCCAAAGTTCCTTTGAGAAACTTAATATCTTCCAAAGCTTGCAGCAATATCTGTCGCAAAGTAATCCTTGTCCAAGGAAAAGTTAGGAGCAAGGACCAAAAAAGTCGCCTCCTCGACTGGCCCCTCGGAATGTCCCAAGTCTGCAGCTTGCGACAAAAGTTAATCACATCGACAAAGTCTTCTGCGGCTTCCTCCATCGGAAACTACCATCGGCAAACGAAAAATGGACAACCAAAGTTGCAGCGGAAGGCACGAGGCAAAGTAAACCAAAGAGACCCTGAACTCCCTGAAGTTCAAAGTTTGGCTGGGGTCTAATTGGGTATGTACATTAAACTACAAGCTTAAAAGTGCACTGGTTCAGTGCAAAGTTCGCGTGGAGAAAGTGCGCGCGTAACGCGCGTGGCGGCGTAAATTTCGCGCCTGGAAAAGTTGCGGTCGCGTACGCGGGCCGAGTGCGCCGAGCGCGCTGAAAGTGCACATGACATGACTGCACATGACTGCAAAGTACATGTCCGCACAAGACAGGAAAAGTGACATAACTGCACAAGCTTAAAGAGTGACATGTCCGCACAAGACAGCAAAAGTGACATGACTGTACATGCTTGCAAAGTGACATGTCCGCAAAAGTACGTGGTTCTCTCCACTCTCTCTCTCTCTCTTTCTGTTCTTCTTCTAAGATTCTAAAAGTGTTTCAGAGAGGAAAACCAAAGGTAGGCAGGTGCCTGTGCAAAGTATCCTTCGGAACATACTTCGTCAAGATATCAGCGGGGTTCAAAGTTCCAAGGACCTTCTTAACACGCACAGCACCAGAAGCAACAAGTTCCTGGATGAAAAAATGCCGAAGTTCGACATGCTTTGTCTTCCTAGAAGCACCAAAACGTGAAACTATGCTTTTGCCTACACTGGAGTCCGTCCAAACACAAAGGTTGGCCTTCTGGAAAAGTTTCGCCTCCTCAACCAAAGACCTCAAGAAAAGTGCATCGGCAGTACCGGAACCGATGGCGTAAAGCTCGGCTTCTCCGCTAAACGTATGCCAACACGTAAAGTTGTTTAGTTTCATGCACGTAAAGGTTTGGATCAGACTTCATCCGCCGAAAGCCATTCTTCTTCATAACTGAGGCAAAGTGTTCCTGCCACAGCTTCGGGGAATGCTTCAAACCGTAAAGTGCACGTTTCAACTTCCACAACGTGTTGCCATCTGGATAGAATTCCAGGGGAGGAATGACATAAAAGTCTTCATCCACCGCGGCGTGTAGAAAGGCCGTGGAGATGTCTCCCACTGAAATGTGCCATCCTTTGGCTACAGCAAGCGTCAACAAAAGTTTCAAGGTCGTCAGCGAGGGTGTGGACGCAAAAGTCTCGTCCTTGTCTTCAACTTGTTGCGTGTAGCCACGCACGACAAGTCTGCACCTCACGGTGCTGTCTGACTTGCGTACCTTCACCCAACGCGTGGAAATGACTTTGTCCAAAAGTTCCGGTGGAACGTCTTTGTAGTTTACTTCATCGAACACATCGAAAGTTGTCATGGACTTCATTTCCTTCTTCATGCCTTCAACTTCTTCTTCTTTAGAAAACTCGGTTTCATACCAAAAGTACGGGTTTTCCAGCGTCTTCATCAGCAAAAGTTCTTTTTCATCCTGATTCACAGAAACAGGAACTTCCAGGCCGTCCTTGGTCGTGACAGCTGAAATGCGAAAGTCGAAAACCGTCCTTGGTACACGCTTCTTCTTGTTTCCACTGTAGAAAGTGACGGCGTTTATCTTCTGGACCTTTGTTCCACCAACTTCAAAAGTCTCAGACGAGCGCTTGGTCGGAGATGCTTCTGAAAGTCTAGGGCGAGAGCCAGAAGGCTCGGGCAAAGCTGCGTCTGTGCTAGACCGTGCCTGCGCTGTGTTGGCAGTGGCTTCGTCCAAAGTGAGCCTTGGAGGTTCAAAAGCTGGGCCTTCGTCGACTTCAAAGAAATCGTCAGGAAGGTCCGAAAGGTCGTCGCGCGCCGGAATGGGCGCGGTGTCGTCATCAAGGCCCAACGCATGCTCCAAGTCAGGGTCGCAAAGTCCATCGTCTGGACCATCAGGGGCCAAAGAAGCGCCGCTAGGCGCCACCGAGGGCGCCAAAGCATGAGGACCGTGCAAAGTAGGCTCAGTCGCCCCCTCAGACCCTTGCATCGGAAAGATGAAGGAGTCCGTCTCAACCTTTGCACCCGTCGGGTCCCATGGGCGCGCCGTGACTGACTGCAGCAAGTCAAAGTCAGCCTGTTGGGTGGGCGGGAGGCGTTTCACAGAACGCGTCTTAAAGACAGCCGTGGAGTCAGCAACAAAGTGCTGGTCAGACTCCGTGTCCTTACCAAGCCACACGCCACGCGTGAAAGCTGGCTTGCCCTTGCGCACGCGCTGTCTACGGAAAAGTACGGTCTCACCAAAGCGGCATATAAAGCCGTTGTACCGCTTTCCCCAGCGTCTCTCAAAGGCAGTAGTGCCAGCCGCGTTGCACAAGTAGCGGTTGACAAGCCACTGGGCACGAGGCACAAGCCAAGTGAAAAGTGCAGAGTGCACAGAGAGTTCAACTTTGTACTTGTTCAACAGCTCAAGCCGCAAAGCCTTGATCTGTCCGTACGAAGTAGCCTGCATGTTGCCGACGGAACCTTGCGCTTGCTTCCAGCCGGTTGGGGTCTTCCGCAAGGAAAGTCCACCGACCTCACCTGTCACAGCTTCCGCTATCGCAAGCAAAGCAGGTTCGGGGTCACACTGCAGGATGCCAAAAGTGCGTCCTGTCTCCAGAACAAAGCGCCGCAACTCCGCGTGAGAGTAAGGCGTGCGGGCCTTGGTCGGAATCACCACTGAAAGTGACATGTTAGTCAACACATCAACAACGTTCAAGATGGTGATTTGCTCTGCACCAGGCTTGTCAGACAGAAAACTAAAGTCCATCTGCAAGACGGGCTGTCTCAAGGAAAGTTTTCTGCTCTGTGCCTGTCGGCTCTTAGCACGCAGACAAACTTCACACCAGGGCTTGAAAGGCAAGTGAGTAAGCTCATCCTCCAGCCTTTCTGTTAAAGTAGGCTCGTAGGGCTGTTTCAAACCCTTTGGCCGTCGAGCTAAGTACTCCGGCTGGGCAGGCTCTGCGTCGAAAGTTTCAAGCGGCAACTTCTCAAAGCATGTGGCGTCAACTCACGGGCACCAACATTGCGCCACCCATCAAAGTTCCACTTGGGATCCTCACCATCACGCACAATCAAAGTCATGCGTCCATTCCCAAGCTGTTCTTCAAAGTGAGGGTCTTCAGGCACAAACAAAGTCGTGCGGGGCTCGTAGTGGACACGAACCCAGAACAACGGAAAGTTCAACCAAAGGTCGTGCGTGTAAGGTTCTCCCGTAGAAGGATCCATCTCGGAAAGTTGGTCTACCAACGTCTTCTGAAACTCAGGCAGAGTGCCTGTGGCTGCCGCTGCTAAGCGTTGGCGGAAAGTGTCCTCCACCGAAGGCTCCTGAGGGGTGAAGGCTTCTTCACCAAAGTTTCTTCCTCAGGCTGTGGAACAGGTTGCGGTTGGAGGTGTTGAGGTGAAGGTAAAGTTGATTGCTTGCCAACTAGTCTACGACCAGTGGATTGTGAAGAAAGTTTAAAGACAGTCTTGCCAACAAAAGCCCTGTGGATATCCCTTTGGGATTCGAGGAAGTACGCCAATTATCTGATAAAGTTTCTTTTCTGCCATCTTCATACTCGAGGAAAGTAACTCGCTCATCAGCTAAGCGATCCAGTTCAACGGGCCTATCCTTCGTCCCTTCGGGAGAAAAGAAAGTGGCTCTGGCTCTTTTGTGTATTCGGGTAAGGGTGTTGCCGGAAAGTTCCCAACGATCAGTATGGTAATACATTGGGGTGAAAGTTGGAGCGATCAAAGTTCCTTGGGAACTTAATCCATGAAACATATCACAAACTTCCACAAACTCATCCTTGTCAAAAGGTGCAACCGAAGGCCGAAGGAACAAAAGTGAACCATGCCTCAGAATCGGAACCTGCTTCCCATCAGGGGTCGAGAGTGTTTGAGACTCCTTCTTCATCGAAACCTCGAAACCCTGTCTCAAAAGTCTTCCAACCGAAACTACACAATAAGGAACATCGCACACATAAACGTGTAGGAAGCAAGGTTGGCCATCAAAGTCAACCTTCACAAGTCTTCTCCCATAAGCCGTCAAAGGTTGACCCGAAATTGATCTTAACGGTGGTGCTTTGCCTGTCAAAGGCAAAAGTGGCCATTCCGATGCAAAGTCCTGAGGACAACAATGGGTCGCTGCGCCTGAATCGAAGAGTATCCAGGGCTCATCTTCCTCAAAAGTCGCTGCGACCACATGTTCCTCCAAAGCATGATCCCTGAAAGTCGTGTTGAGATGTGGCATGTTCAGATCAGCAACACTGAAAAGTGTCTTCGCATCTCCATTGTTTCGGTGCATGGCAAAAGTTTCCAAAGGTGCCATCTCAATTGCACTCGAAACGAAAGTGGGTCCACCACAGGTGAAATCCACTTCACCACTGAGCATGCCTTCAAAGTTCAACGACTGTCCAACACCAAAGTTCCCAAGCACAAGAGCCGACACAAGCAAAGTACTCGGAGAAACCGCGCTCTTCGCCTTGGGTTTCGCTCTCGCCTTCGAAAGTCCTGGAGGTGACTCCAAAGTCACCGCGGACACCGTGGCCTGCGCTGCAGGCGGCTGCAAAGTCTGCTCTTCCTTGGTCTTCTGAGGCTGCTGCTGCAAAGTCTCCTTAGAGGTGGCTTCAGGCCACCATTCGCCCCAAGACCCAAAGTCCTGATACCAATCCCAGGAATCTCCCCAAGAGGAATCCCAAAGTGAATCATCCCAAGCATCATAACCCCAACTGTCACCATCGAAAAGTGCACCGACGGTCCACTCGGACCAGTCATCGCCAGAGGCCTCACCAAAGTAAGACCAATCTTCCTCAGTACCATCGTAAAGTTCATCTGAACCTTCAACAGCATTCACCCTATTCATGGGACATGCACTCGCAAAGTGTCCTGTCTTTCCACATGTCCAACACAAAGTGCTAGAGGAAGCCGAAGCTCCCGAAGAGGACGAACCAAAGTTCTTTCCTTTCTTCCCTTTGCTCTTTCCTTTCATGCTTCCAAAAAAGTTCCAGTGAGGGCCTTTCTTTCCTTTTCCTTTGGGACCAAAGTCCTTGCCCTTTCCTTTCTTTCCTTTTCCTTTCCCTTTTCCTTTTCTTTTCTTTCCTTTTCCTTTTCCTTTGCCCAAGTTTCCTATGTCCATGGGGGCTTGCCCACCCCCTTGGAAAGTGGCCGAGGCTGATGTCTGCGCAAGTGGGTTCACCAAAAGTCTAGCACGATAGTACTCTAGGATCACCGCTTTGATCTGCTCATAGGTTTGCAAAGTCCTTGCATTCAGCCGAAGGTGTTGCTGCAAAGCTCCTGTCGTCTTGTTCAGCAAAGTTGCAACGAGAACCCCATCAGGCAAAGGTTGCCCGGTTTGGGTTTCGTACTTCACCTTTATCGTTTCCCAGACATTACAGTCCTGCTCAAAGGTTGAAGGATTGAACTTGAAGTCTAAAAGTTGGGTGAGCAAAGCTGTTGACCTCGTGGCATCGGGAAGGGCGAACTTGTTGTAAAGTCTCCTCCAGGTCTCGAAGCCATTCGAGTCAACATTCTGTCGAACGACAAGTCGTGCCGAATCCTTCACGAGCTGAGACAGTAGATAATGAAGCTTGCGACTGAAAAGCACGCGCTGCGCCGTTGCATCAGCATCTAAGTCTCCGGTGTCGAGAACGACTTGCAAAGTTTCATCGGTGTACTCACCCGCGCTCATTTCCGCTCGATCTAGCAAAGTTACTGCGCTGGGCTCGAACATCGAAATGTATGCTTTAAAGTTCCAAGACCATTCTTCCCAGTCCGAAGGCTGGCCAGAAAAGTGGTCAGGCAGGGGCAACCGGATCTTACCGGTAAAGTCGCCTTCTCCTCCTAGTGCCATTCTACCAAAGTCTACTGGAGCCTAAAGCTCCGCTACCATGCGAAATTACAGGTAGCTAGAAATCACAACTAACACTCTAAAGGGCAGTGCAACTCCAGCCAACCTCTGACTCAAAGTCACGATCAATCCCCAAAGTACCTCGGCCTTTTCTCTGCTTGGGCAAAGTCTTGAGCCAACAAAGTGGCAGTCGTATTGGCTATAGGTACAGGGAGGAAAAGTGCTCATATCTTAACACAAACAAACAAACAAACAAACAAAAAAACAAACAAACAAACAAACAAACAAACAAACAAACAAACAAACCAACAACAACAACAACAAACAACAGCGCGCGCGCGCGCGCGCGCGGGAACTGGTGCGTTTTCCGCGCGCGCGCGCGCGCGCGCGCGCGCGCGCATGTCGAGTGCCATGTTATGGAGTTATGCCAGCATCCTTCGAAATCCTGCCGCCCGAAACCCTTTCCGGAGCCGCTGATGCTGCTGATGCTCGCCCCCCGGATCCCCAAAGAGAAACGAAGCCTCGCCCCCCGCCCGGCCGCGCATCATGAGCATCAGCGGCTCCGGCCTCCAGGCATGCGTGGCTTATAGGGGCATATGCCGGCCTCAAAACGGAAATGTCCGTAACAGCACGAAAACCACGGTATTTACAGCGATTTCTGTGTTTTCCAAGCTCTCAGCCGCATCCGAAACCCGAGACCCAACCCGCCGATGCTCATGATGCGCGCTCTTGTGGGGGTCCTTTGGGGTGGCCGATGCCACCCAAAAAACATCAACAACGCGTATTTGGCAAAAGTTGAAAAAGAGAGTCGATGATGTCTCCGGGGTCGTTTTTGGGACCCTTCATGGGGCGCCCAAAAAATGTCCAGGAGCCCAAATTCGGTGGGGAATAGCGCGTTTTTCGCGATAAAAAATGTAACTGAAACATGATGCCCTTCGGAAGCCGCATTTGGAGCCGGCATATGCCCCCCCCCCGGGGTAGCTAAAGCTAGGGCTGGCGCCTAACCGTCGGACCACCCGGATTTAATGGCTACCGCCAGTGCGCTACCCCCGTCACAAGAATTGAAGCACGCTCTGCCCGGCTCAACCCCGACAGGAGGCCGCAGGGTTAAGGGCGTAGGGCTTGGATTAGGCCTGCAACTCCCTAAGCCCCAAACCCTAAACCCGCAACCCCCTCCAGGCCCTCCAGCCCAGCCCCTCCAGCCCCTCCCGCCCCTCCAGCCCCTTCAGTCCCTTCACCCCTTCAGCCTCTTTAGCCCCTCCAGCCCCTCCATCTCTGCAGCCCCTCCAGCCTGTCCAGCCCCTCCAGCCCCTCCAGCCCTCCCCCAGCCAGCCCCACAACCCCAAAGTTAAAATGACAACCCGACAAAACTACAATTTCTATAAACCTAAGGGAGGGGGAGCGATGAGAGCGGTGAGAGCGGGGGCGTGGATTGGAATCCCTGATTGGTGAGGGGCGGAGTAGGCGGTAGAGGGTAGGCCTGCAGTGGGAAGGGGGGTGGGGGGGGTGGGGGAGGGGTGGGACGTCTAAGATTGGGAGGATAAGGGAAGGGGTAGGGGAGGAGGATGGGTAAGCAGGACAGGGAAGGAGAGGGTGGGAGTGAAAGAGGGCGCAGAACAGAGGAGGAGAGGTGGATGGTGGGGAGGGGGGGGCAGGGGAAGGGGTTGGTGGCGAGGGTGCGGGACACAAAAGATCGGTCAGGGAGCAGGCGGAGGAGGTGGGAGAGGAAGTGGGAGGGAGGAGCAAGGCGGGAGGGCAATGCTGGGGGGACAGGGATGGGGAAGGGGTAGGGGAGGAGGATGGGTAAGCAGGATAGGGAAGGGGGGGCAAAGAGGGTCGGAGTGAAAGAGGGCACAAAACAGAGGAGGAGTGGCAACGGTAGAGGGTTGGTGGCGGATTAGGGAGTTGGGGGCGGAAGGCTTGGGGAGCGGTCAGGGTGGGCGTGCATTGATCAGGGAATTGGGGGCGGATCCCTGAAAGCCCGAACGATGATTGCGTCCATGTTACCACCCCGCGCGAGTGGCCAGAGCATCATGCCCGCCCGATGATTACGTCCATCCACTCCGTGCGAGCGGCCAGAGCATCCATGCCCGCACGATGATTATCAATGTTACTACTCCGTGCGAGTGGCCAGAGCATCCATGCCCGCACGATGATTACGTCCATGTTACCACTCCGTGCGAGTGGCCAGAGCATCCATGCCCCGCGCGATGATTAGTGCTTCCAGGCTTACATGTCTCAGGAGACGACAGCTGCGCTTGCTGCAGTTGCTGCACTCCTGCTGTGATCACACCCAGCGAAGGCGAAGGGTCCCCCGAACGCCGTTCATGTCAAGTCGATTGTTGCTGAGGCCCTTCAGTCTGACCTTGCTCTCTCCTTCGATCTTGCCATGGTTGCCCGTCACCACGCCCTTCAGCCCCTGCATGAAGATTTCCTTGCTGGATGACCATGTGCCGCGCCATGATGCCCATGTGACCCTCCAAGAAGACTCCCTCGTGGAACTCCTGAGCAAAGATCAGTTTCGGCGTGATGCCCTTGTGTCCCTCCAAGAAGACTCCCTCGTGGAACTTCTGAGCGAGGATCAGCTTGATCTCTTTGCCTTCCCATAGCCAGTTCATCTCTTTCCATTGCGACTCGATCGAGCCTTCCTCTCAGTGCTGCCACCTCCTCCCTTTGCTGCCTGTTTTTGGGCCTCGGCTTGAATCTAGCCTGCCGTCACCGATGCTCCACCACCACCTCCAGGACCATAGATCACAGGTGCCCTGCTTTGGGACCGCCTCATCTGTTTGCTGATCGAACAGCGGCGCCAGCAAATGGTCTGGTAGCTTTTCAGGAGGAGAAACATTCGCCTGAAAGGTTGCAGATGCTTGAGCTGCTGCTGCCGAAGTGTACTGCGTACGTTGCTGACTTGCAGGTGACATGGGCTGCTGGGGCGGTGTTAGGCCTAGATTACTTCTTAACCTATCCCCTAACCCATTACCCGTCGTCGCATTCGTCAAGAACTCTGTCATGCGCGCTATCCAGCGAACCCCTTGTTGATCACCCCGCCGTGCTCCATCATCTTGTGAAGCTTGCCCAGTGAAATGCGGTGAAGAAAGCTCCGACCTCTGTCACGTAGTCGTACGCCCAAACCCGTTGCCAAAAACCGCATCTAGGCCGAATCCGGTTGAGCCCCTTCGCTTGCTCCTTCTTTCATCAACGAACTTCCCAACGTTGGCTGCTCGACCACTCGCTCCCTAACCCCCCGCTTTTTTAAAACTCGTTTTGGTTTGCTTCAGAGTTTACGCATTCTTTTTGAAACTTCTAATGCCAAGATGCCAGCATTGATTTGCAGACTCTGGAAACTGGAAACTCAGAAATGCTGCTATTTACAGTATTTCCAGCCTCTGAAAGCGCAGAAATGCTGCTATTTACAGTATTTGCAGCCTCTCGAAACTCAGAAATGCTGCAGGGTACAGTGTTTCCAGCCTCTGAAAGCGCTTCAGTGCATTGTTTTTTTGATCCCAAATATGACATGTTTTTGATCCGCCTATGAATATATTATGTTTTTGATCCCAAATACATTTTTTTTGATCCCCTACCCCTCTCATGGTGCGGGAGTGTGAGTCCGTGGGTGCACTGCCAGGAACAGGCTGTTGACCCGCAAAAAGGCCACAGCGCACAGGTCAAGTAAGACTGGGGGCTGACGTGCCTTCCACTGTTTCCACTGTTTCCACTCATGAACGCCCATAGCCCCCCCCCGCACCCGCCAACAGCGCGAACAGCGTGAACAGCGCGAGCAGCACGACCACGGGACCACGAGGAACCGCGAACAGCGCGAACACCGGGAACACATCGAGCAGCGCGAACAGCGCGAACACCGCGTGCTGTGGGTGGTTCTTGTTGGCGAGTGTTGATCTCCGATGGCTCGTTGATAGAGATACTATGTTACCATGGCTCGGATTGCAACATCGCGCCTTTCAATTGTATATGTTACGCCAATTTCTCCTGCTTGGCCCTGGTTGGCATGACGCGGGCAAGTTTATCATCCACGAATCCGCCTAAAAAATTCTTATGGGGCCTGGCCATAGCCCAGAGGCGCAAAAAACACTTGAGCAATTGAGGAGAATGCCGCGCGTGCTGCGGAAGGCAGGTTTTGAGGTGAATGAAGATTGCAGAGAACAGTGGCAAGTTGCGGGCCATCTATGATGCCAAGAAGTCTTCTTGAACTGTGATGAAGAAGCCTAGACAGCAAGTCTCCGACTCTGAGTTCATGACACAACTTGCCAAGGAAGGCAAAAAAAATGAGTGCTTGTGGGCCGTAGGAGAGCAACAAGCGATGTGCATCATGAGGTCTCAGAGCTTGTCGTTTGACAGTTGTATCTGAGGTCATATCAGAAGCCAAGCACTTTCGGCAAACCTCAGACAGAGCTCCGCTAGATCGCGCGGCTTGACCCCCCGCCCATGCATTCGGTTAGGCAGGACGAAAATTGCCACAGCAGGCTTTTCATGTCCGCTTCGAGTTCAGGCATGCTGTAAGGTTTAAACTTTCTTATCCCATAAACAATCAAGGGTGTTGCAACTGTCCATCTTTGTTCACTAGGTGCCTCCAAGTTGCAGGCGATAATGAGGTCCATTCTTCCGAAGGAACTACAGTCCACGCAGCGTTTCTTCCGCAGATGCTGCAGCTGCCGGAGTTGGCTCTAGCAAGTGCCTTGACGTGTAATCGCTGACTATCAGATTTCTGTGACTTTCGGCAGCCGCCACATAAGCTGTGGAATGATACGGCTTGCAGCCTGCAGTGATCACCCACGTGTTTCAATCAACAGAAAGTGGTCGCATCATATCAACGTGCCGATTGTCACATCTTCTATCAGGATTCTGTATCTGCACGTGGATTCACTGAAGACCAGTTAAGGGTTGTCTGCAAGAGCTGAGTTTCTTACGGGGCCGCCTCTCGGCCATGGCGACGACAGCGCAACTACGACCGAGGAGTCTACTGAAATCAGCTCAAGTCTACTGAT